AACCTGCACTACCATTTGGCATCATGGACTGCTCCATTTCAGGAGACCCTTCTCTGCTCCCTAGTTTCCCAAATTCCCATGCCCACTGAGCATGCTCAGGCCCTTTGACTATGGGGCAGGGTTAAGAAAGGAAAACTCCCTTGGGATTTTTAATCCAGGGTTCCTATATGTAAGTGGTGTCATTGTAGCTACATGAGAACCAGTACTCAGAATTCTAATCCCTGTAAATACACAAGATTAGGTGCAACTGGCTGAAGCATAGGGTGAACAGCGGGTTTTCCAGATACCTGCTCGCTTGTGGTAAGTGACACCACCAAAATTACCAGATGGCTGGTAGAGAACTTGATGGCTTTATGTTGCGCAAAACTGACTCGCAGGATCGGTGGAGATGACCACATTCAGACCCACATCACGTTTTGGGTTTTCTCAACTCAGCATGAAAACGATTCCTTAAGAAATAGCATTTAGGCTCTCTGCATCTCCTGCACATGAAAGCGGAAGCATGGAGCCCCAAGGCTTGGGTGCCACCCCAGGGACTTCTCTTCATGAGCTTGCTGCTGTTTAACTACCAAGATAAATTTACGTCTAGGACCAATTGTAGAGAACGTACTGTGCGGTGCTGGCTTTGGTGGGCAATGTACTCGGCTGCTTTTGCTCGATGCAGAACTTTCCATTTCACCCAAGGGAAAACCGAAACATTAATGTAATCTCCTGGTGAATTATGCATTACTTTGTAATATGACAGGCTAAAATTACTGCATGTCTGAATTATCATACACTTTCTTAAAATTTCATAGTGAACCTTTATTCCTGAATATTAAGAAGCCTCAAAATGAGTTCTTATTATTTTAAGTGGGGGTGGGGGGAGTCTTCAAGGAAGAACTAATTCAAATAGTGACTAAATAGTTATTTTAGGTAGGCTGAGTTCTTTCCAGCCTTGCATCAAAATAATTTCCAAATGAACTTTAAAAGGCAGGCCAATTTGTAGGAGGAAAGGGATTAATAAGACTCAGATTGCTGAGTCTTCAGATACAAGGGGTGGGGGGGATTTACTAAATTACCAAATGTAAATTCCATATTGGCAAGGCTAGACTGATTGAAAGAGAGCTCCTCCTATTAACAGGAGATATAATTTTATGTACATTTATCGAGAGACTTTCCTGGGCAGAGCTGAGAGAGTCTTTGCCATAGCACTTAGCTTGTTTGCAGTGTAATTGCATTTAGACCAAGGTCTTATGAAGGAAATGGCTGACTAAATTAGCATTAACCAGGTTCCTGTGGGGCTCAGTGCATTGTGGGTAGACTAGACTTGCCTCCAGAAAGGACAAATTGACCCGAGAGAGGCCAGATGCTTACAAGGCATGGTGTTAATTGATTTTCCCAAATGGGGCAAACGTCATCACTTGGGAAGCTGCTTTTTTAAAGTCCTCATAAGGTAAAGTGTAGGATGCAATTTTTTCATCCTTTTACTTCTTCCTATCCACCTCCATTCCCTTCATTCAAATGCAGATATATCTTGGCTTCTTTTTGGGACCAGATTCAGGGTAAGTCTGTGCATGCAGGAAAATGCAATGGTAAATTGAAGGACACCAATCCAACCTCGATGTAGTGATGCTACTTTTGAATCCTTCCACCAGGAATGACTCCTTGCAAAGTAAACGGTCATGGTGGGGAAAGCCCAGCCTTTCCGCTCTTGTTTTCTGGCAGGTCGCTCTTTCCCACTTTCTGGTGGGTGGCTCTTGTTAATAGCAATGGCCTTCAGGAAGAGGGTTATTTAGAAGATGAGAGACCACAGGTGTTCTCAGGTACTCAGTTCTGCTGGGCAGGAGTTCCAGGCTGTCCCTGGTGCACCAGGAGACTTAAACTTAATGGATGTCCTTCTTGGAGAGGCACGCATTGCAACAGGCCTCAGGGTCGTGCTGCCAAGGAGATTCCAAACAATATTGTGGTTGTAGTTATTTTATTTTTATTTATTTATTAGAACATTTCTATGCCGCCCCTCGCCGAAGCCTCAGGGCGGCTTGCAACACAATAAAATACAATAAAATACAAAAATGACAATATAAAATTAAAATTAACAATATAAAATAAATATAAAATATATAAGATATAAAAATATATATTTTCAGTTCTGTACCCCCCAATAGCCAAAGCTCTCTGGGTAGCTCACAGCAGTTCAAGGCATAAGTACCGTAGTAACAATCGATACAAGAAAAATACAAATAAAATGAAATGCAGAGTAAAATTCCAAGATGCAAGATTTAAAACAGTTTAAGCAACTACACCAATTTCATTATTTATTTATTTCATTTCTATACTGCCCATAACCCAACAGGTTTGTTTGCTTATTTACAAACCTGTCGAGGCCTTCCTAGGTGGTTTACAATACAAAAAACATATTAACAAAGTGAAACACATTAAAACCAATTAAAATGTAACGAATTAAAACATCTATAAAAGCAATATTAAAAGGGCCACAGCATTCAGGCTAAGTGTTAAAAAATTTCCTCAAAAGGTATGTTTTTGCCTAGCCCTGAAAGGAAAATAAAGATGGCGCCAGGCAAATTTTCCAAGGGAAGAAGTTCCAAAGATGGAGAGCAGCAGCAGAGAAGGCCCTTTGCCTGGTCGCCACCCCTCTCATCTCCCTGTGGGGTGGTACTCACAGAAGGACCTCCTGAGCTGATCTGATGGGGTGGGTAGGTATATATGGGAGCAGACGGCCCTTTAGATAGCTAGGCCCCAAACCAATTAGGGCTTTAGATTGCCTGGGTGGTTCACAAAGTAGAAAAGCACATATCATAAAAAACAAAAACAGTATACAATAATAAACAATAAAACAATCACCCCAAATAAAATGGGGGCAAGTGACCCACAGCAACCACAGTGAAATCAGTTCAGAGGTACAGCAGCAATGCCAAATAAAATAAAAATGAAAGCTACACTTATTCAGGCTGTTGTTTCGATTCATCCCCAAAACAGGTTGGAGCACATCTTTTGTAAAAACCATTCACTTTATTACAAAAATTCATTTCCCCATAGCTACTGTCGGAATTAGAGTCATGCTCAGACGGAAAGGGGAATCCTGAAAGGGCAGGGGCAGAAATCAGCTATGTCCCTGCTCAGAAGAAAATGCTGGTACTCTGTCCCGGTGAGCCCCGATGCCACCACACCTCTGCTTTAGGAATGGTGCCTCACCTTTACCTGTGTGCTTGGGGTGGCTATGAAAGCTGGCATGCATTCGGAGCTTCCCCCGTTCTTACATCTGATCCAACACTGCAGAGCAAGGACAGCTTAAGTACACAGTCATGCAAGGACGGCCAGAACCTCGGCATCCCCGTGCTTTTGCCTGAAACACATTGCTGAAGAACTCCGAATTTATATGAGATGGGGTATTAGGAGCATGCTTAAAAGGGCAGCCCGGCAAAGTGTCTAGCTAGCAAGGAGCCCTCCCTGTTGTGCCTGCTTTGCAAGCCTGTGGCTCACTCTCGCATTTTTGGCTGAGATGCAGCAGTCATACTGAGAGCAACGACTGTGCTGTCCTTCCAGAAATAGCATCAAAGTTAGCATTGTACTGAGCATCCTTCCCTTCTCTGATATTGACTTACAAGAGTGCAAAAAGCATCTTAAGTCAGATTCTAGAGCCGAAAAATGTGGGATAGTGGAGAAAGAGTGAAAGGGCAGGGGTTGCATCGGTCAGCCACACATGGTCCCCTTCCAACACCTTTCTTTTATTTTCTCTTTTTTCCCTGGTCTTGCAAGCAACTTTAAACCCAGAGTAGGGCCTTCTCTGTGGTGGCACCCAGATTGTGGAATGCTCTCCCCGGAGAGGTTCGCCTGGCACCGTGTTTATACTCTCTTCGGCGCCAGGTCAAAACCTTTTTATTAAATTCTTATTTTAAAAACTAGTATTTTAATGTTCGACAGTTGCTTTTTCTTTAATTTATATTTCCTGGGTATTTGTTATTTATTTATTATTTATTTATTTGGAACTTTTATATGCCTCCCCCTTCGCAAAAAGCCTCGGGGCGGCTTCCAAAACAAATAAACAATCATACAATTACCTTAAAAATCTGGAAACATCTCAGCACAGATATAAAATCAATAAATACAATCAACAATTAAAATAACGTTTAAATAATAAGGTCTTGGCCTGGCACCGAAAAACAAATAACAATGGTGCCAGGCAGACCTCTCTGGGGAGCACATTCCATAGGTGGGGCGCCACCATAGAGAAGGCCCTCCTCCGGGTACTATTTATTATAGTATTATAGTACAATATTTATTATATTGATATGACTTGTTTTACTGTGTTTTGATTTTAATGATTGTAAGCTGTCCTGAGATGCCACACACAAGGGACAGCATATAAAAGTTTTAAAGAAATAAAGGTTTTAAATAAATAAATACATTTGCATGGTGGTCATTCCACTGTTGCAGTTCAGTTGAGGTCAAACCTTGAGCCAGTCTTTGATCCTAATTCACCAGTTGTTGTTGTTACTTCTGTGCCACTCAATAGCCAAAGCTCTTTGGGTGATTTACAGTAAGTCATAAAATGCAGCATGAAATGCATAAAATGTAAAGTCCAGTAAGAACATGACTTGAAGACCAGTGGTCTGCCCTGACTGGCATTGGCTCTCCAGGTCTTTTTCAGCTTCACACGGAACTTGGGACCTTTGCATGCATGGAGCATGCAACATGGAGCCGACTCACGAAAACTGGCCAGATAAGTCCGGCTAGGAACACTAAAATTGTGTGTGGTCTGAGGTCGCAGAAGGCCTCCCCCATGCTGAAGCTAAGCAGGTTTGGGGCCGGCCCGAGCTTGGATGGGAGACCCCCAGGAACTGCATGGAGCCCCCTTGAGTTCCACAATGGGAGAAGGGTGTGATGTTAATATAATAAACACATAGATAAGTAGCCCATGCTCTTTAAAGCAGAAGGCAACCTCCTTTCCAGTGGGGTGGCCACCTCCTCACACTGCCTCTTCGTTTCCTTCTGTCCAGCCACCCTTGTGTGATTCGTGGGCAGGTGATGACATCGGATGGGACCCCACTGGTTGGCGTGAACATCAGCTTTGTCAACAACCCCTTCTTTGGCTACACCATCAGCAGACAAGATGGCAGGTAGGTGGACTCCACTTGTCTTTACATAAAGCAGGTACTTTCTCTGGAGCACAGTCCTGGCTATAGACATCAGGTCCACTGTTAGCCGCCCCTTGGCAGGTTCCTCCCCCCCCCCCCCCTTTTTTTTTTTATGAAACCAGAAGCTGCTACTGCTAAAGCTCATTAAAGCATGGTAAGAAGAAGGTGGACCGTTCCCACCAGTTTCCGTGCATCCTTGTAGGATGTGCAAACCAGCAAAACTTTGATCTCACCCAAAACTTGCAAAACCCTTCTTAAAGTGCCTCTTTCCTTGATTCCGTATCAGGCTCTGGTTTGTATTTTTATGTGCATTTTCCAAATGCCGTATGCATCTTCAAAATGTATTCATTCTTCTCCCATTGGTTAAAATAGTTGTACCTATTTGCATTCTTTCATGGGCATTTGTCAAGGGAGGCATGCTGCTGAACAAATTCTGGCTGGGAATTACAGGGGAAATGTTTGGACTTTGACCACAGATTATGTCCGACTCCATATTCAGTCTAAACAGTGCAAACTCCTAAGACCCTGATTAAAGATGAATGGGAATCAATTGATCAAACATCCCTGCATTGTTGCTACTGAAGACACTGCTCTTGATAGAAGGCTTTGGCATCTTTCTGTTGACTTTCCACCTTCTGACCATATTGATTAAATTCTAAACTTTAGAACAACTCGCCATGGAAATTGGAGCCCCACGTTTTGAAATTTCCCACTGCTGTCAGAAACCTTCATAGAAAGATCAGAATGCATGGCAAGGGGAAATCACCATTATGTATTTTCCCTGTGCTGTTCCATCACAGGTTTCCAAGAGGGCTAACAGAGAAAACAATAATGTGCAAGCAGTGTTGTAACAAAACATTTAAATTAGAATGGATAAATTAACGCACAGTGAAGCAAGGAATTAACCAGAATGAAACAAATCTGAAAATGTTACAGCAAGCCCTTTTTAAATAGCATTTGTTTGCTGGCTTAGAGGATGTTTAGGCTGTCTCACATCACAAACGTTTCCAGTGTAACTTGCATAATATTTTCAAGAAAAACATCAAACATAACCAGTCAATCCTCCCACTTCCCACAAGCCCAATCCATTTGGGTATGAAATGGACTTCCATGGGCGGTGCTTGAGGCCGCATTGGTGAGGGTGTTCAAGGATAGGCTGGACATGCACATGGTAGGCATGTCGTGAGTGGAGCCAGCTGGAGCAGGGGGTCAGACTAGATGGCCTGGGAGCCATAGATGGCCCCTTCTGACTCGTTCAGTTTCTATGTTTGTTCCTTGGTTTGCTGTACTGATGTTCCACCTTTCCTCCCAGGAACTTGATTATCTCGATTTGCTCCTCACAACAACCCTGCAAGGTAAATTAGCTGTGTGTCAATGCCTAGTCCAGAGTCACCCAGTGAACTTCATGACTGAGTAACAATTTGAACCCACGTCTCCTTGTCCTACTCCCGTTGCTACCCTGACTCTCCAAAATGCATATTAATTCCATTTCTATACCAAACAACAACCAAAGCGATCTTGGTGGTTCACAACAATTAAAACTATCAAATGCTCAATGAAGCATAACCAAGTTCAAGGATTTACATCTACAGCATAAAACTAAATTGAGAAATCACATCAAAATACAAGCTGGCAGGAGTAACACATTTTAAATGGCCAAAGTGACTACAATGCCCCGTTAAATAGTTTTAACTTCTCATCAGGAGGCAAGAAGGGAGAAGACTCTATGTGCCTATCTGGGAAAGGACCTGGGGTACCACCACCAACAAAGCCCTGACATTGGTCATCAATCACCTCACTTGTAAGGGTGGAAGGACATGGGAAACATGCTAATGACCACAATATGCAGCCAAGGCCCTTATGGGACCTTAAGATGACTTAAGAGATGTACCATTAAAAACTTACCTCACAAATACAGTTCCTGCACAGGGTGACTGCCCTCATAATGCAGTGATTATTCTAAGAAAACGTCCACATTTGCTTGAGTGCGGAAGCCCTTCAGCACCTGGCATACAGAAGATGCACTGATTTCTGTACACAACATGGATTCAAGGAAGGGCAATTCCTGCAGACAGAGGCTCTTCTCCGTTTGAACCCCCAGGTCTGCACCTCGAAAGGTGCCATTTACAAAACAGTGAATGTGTGGGTGGACCAGCTGAAATTACAGCCAGAAGAGTTTCAACTGATGTTACATGTCAGACATTGCAAACAGTAAACTTGGCGCACTTCTCAGATTCATCCTTTCCTCTCAGTCAGGACTGGTTTGCTTTATTTAAAGTATTTCTTGGCCAATTTTCAAGGCAGAAGCCTTATGAAGGCAGCAGATAACAATAAAGCTCGCATAATGAAACCCAGCCCAGTAATAAAAACAATAGCTGGCACGACTTTGCATTGCCTCTGGCTGTCACAAATGAGGCTTCTTCTGCCTTCTGCCACCGTGTGTGGTGTCCCTTGAGCATCCTAGCTGTGCTTTGCGCTGCAGCATTGGCAACACCGTGGCTGCAAAATAGGCATTTTCTGAGCTCTGGGGCCTTGGTGGAGTTGTAGGGCTGCCCTGCAGGAGGGCTGGCGCCTTCCCACCTGCTCCTGTGGATTTCTGCCTCAGCAGAATTGCTGGTAGGATAAGTGACCCTTTTTAAGCAAAAGGCCCAGCTTTAATCCAAAATAATCTAGCGTACCAGCATCATCCATCATGGCCTTCCCAAGCTGGTGGCCTTCAGAGGCATCTGGACTGCAGCACCCAGAATTCCCATCCAGCAGGGCTACTGGCTGGGAGTTCTGGGTGTTGTGGTCCAAACATGTCTGGAAGGCACAAGACTGGGGGAGGCTGCTTTAAACCGTTGAGTAAGAAGGCCAGGAGTGGGAAACTTTGGGAGGTTACAGGAAACATTTTCACTAGGCTACACACCCCCTGTGGGTGCTGAGAAAGGAGATGGTGGGGGGAATAGGGTCTGTAATGCCACAGAGGTGCCAAAGTCAAAAGGTTGGCTTGTGGCTGAAAACCAGTAAGGTTATTGGTTAGAGGATTGGACTAGTATCTGGGAGATCCAGGTTGTAGTTGCCACTTGGGCACAAAACTCACTGGGTGATTCTGGACCAATCACTGACTCTCAGCCTAATCTACCCCACAGGGTTGTTGTGGGGATGAAATTGAGAGGAAGAGGATTATGTAACCACCTTGAAAAAGGAAAAAAAGTTGGGCCATAAATAGGAGTAATCTGGAGATCCAGAGCAGCTAGGGGTGCCATTGCATTTACTCCTTTAAAAAGCGTTTCAAAGTCCCTCTGAAATTTTGGAAGCTGTCCATCATCCTGTGCAGTCTACCCAACAGCTTTCGCAAAGCTCGGGACCGAACAAAACCAAAAACTGGCTTTTCAGTTTTGCCCACGTTAACTTCAATTCCACTAGTGGGGTGCGTTCTCTCCTCCTCTCTCTCTCGGCATCTCTCCCCTTCTCATTCTTTCTCTCCCTGTTTCTTTTTCTGTTGTCCCTGCTCAGCCCCATCCAGGTAACTTAACTTCAGTGCATTTCCGCAACTGCATAGCCTGTCTCGGACTTGAGATAGTTTCTTCCTCTTTTCTGTCCAGTTTCATGGGCTGCTCCACAAGGAAGCTTGTCTTCCTCCAGGCTGGTCCACATGCCTTACCAAAGCTCATTAGATTTCACTTGCTCCTAGTAACCCTGCTCACCAATGAGCAAAGGAGTGGAGAGAGGTTGTTCCATAAATAGTTCCTTGAATGTATTTTTTTCATGTTTAGTATTTAAAAGAAAAATGCCCCGACTCTTTCTGTAGCGCCCCCCCCCCCCACCTTCCCATCTTTTACTGCTCAGCTTTGGCCTACAGCTACTTTCAAGGCTGTGCCAAATGCTAACTGTTAAAAATGCCCTCATCAAGGCTTAAATGCTATTCGCTTTGTTGGCAAGCAAGAAACGAGGCTTTTACAAACCAGCAAGTGGCCCCTGCTTGAATTGCAGAAGAAATAGCTCCTTAGAAAAAATTATTTGTTTTCACTTAACAGGCAAAAATAAATTCACCCTATCTAGCGTGGACTATAGGACTGACCCCAATTCTCATCTCCTAGGCTTCTATCAATTCTAGTCCTTAGGTTCTGTCCCGTGACCTCTTCAGCCATGAGTTCCAAGGAACTCAAGGGGCTTACATCATTCTCCTCCTCCTCACAATCTTATCCCCACAATCCTGTGAGGTGGACTGGGCTGAGAGGCTGTGCCTGGCCCAAAATCACCCAGGGAGCTCCGTGGTTGAGTGAGAACTAGAACCCGCATCCTCTGAGTTCCAGTCCTGCACTCTTAACCCCTCTAGGTTCTGTCTGCCGGCCACTGTCTTGTGCAGTCAAGTAATGGAACCCCGATGGAGATTACTTGCAGTCGTCCTGTTTCATTACGCGGAACAGCATTAATCTGGAGCACAGCTGAAGGAAGCAATCTGCCCCTGGTCCAGACAATATGCCCAGCAATCCTTGCGACAGAACATCTCTCTTGTTTCTGTTTCCCTCTCCAGCTGACTGACAGGAACTTCAGCAGTAAATACTCATGAACATATCTGAGTATTTTGAATTATCAACTGATATTGCACTTCTCCAAGAGATTGTGGGTAGCATCCAGTGATGTCACAGCATGAGCCAAATTTGCAAATTTTAGCAGCAAAGCACCCCCTTTCCCCTTTTGCACCAGCAAGGCCCCGACGATGCCACATTCGCATTGGCATCATCAGCGCAGTCACTTTATCCCTTCTGGGTAATGCACAGGCTCTTTGCCCCTGCAGATCTTTCATTTCCTGCAGATAACGCTTTGCTCTCCCTTGAGTTGCCCCACACGGTCCTGCACATGGGTCACAAGCCGTAAGGGTGCCTTGGGCCAGAAACCTTTCAACAACAGAGGCTTCAAATGTGGAAGGCCTGCCCCTTGGTGTGTCTGCCCAGGCCACTTCCTCTTCTAGAGGAAGAAATAGAAGCCATGGTTGTCAGCCGTCCTGAGACATCAGAGTGGTGGACGCGGTGTAAATGCTTTAAATAAATATAAATATGGGCAAGAGGTTTTGCTGGATACCAACAAGTGAACAGAAACACTGGCCATTTCTTGCCATAGAATTACAAGAGGAATTGCATCCCTTTCGTGGCACCTGGGTTAAAAACAGGGTTAAAATGAAATCTCTGTGATGTCTGCCCTTTCTCTCAAGCGATGTGCTTTATATTGTTTTAATAATTGGTGCTTTATATTGTACTGTTACATTTTATGTTGCATTTTTATTGCGCTTGGCGATAGGACGGGATATAAATGTCTGTAATAAATAAATAAATGTCTCAAGGAGCTGAGACGTTCCTGACGTCTTGACTGAGACTGGGAGTTGCTGTTTCCCTGCCAGCAACAAAGGGTAGGCCTTGGAGTAAAGGACGGGTTTGGTGCCCTTCACATGGTTTCCGTGTCAACTCTCATCCGCTCTGACAGCATAGCTACTGATCGGCGTGACTGCAGTCCTGGGAGCTGAGTTCCGAAATGTCTGGTGGGCACGAGGTTGAGGAAGAGGGAGTGAGGAAGGCGGCACAGCCAGAAGGTTGAGACTCGGAAACTCAGCATGCCTCATTCCATTCACCCTTTTTCTCTGGCTGCTGTGCAGCACATCTGGACTTGTGGCTGCCATGGGGGAGGGGGGAAAGAAGCCTCAGTTGCTCCACCTCCTGCCACAGCTGGAACTTTTTAAAGGATCAGCATCCATCCCTGGATAGCACGCTGGCTAGCTTATTTCCTCAAAGTCTGAGAGATTTCTGAGCATCCTTAAGTTTTCCAAGCAACCCTCAAAACTGTTCTCTTTCCACAGCTGCTGCTGGTTTGTTTGTTTATATATTTATTTATTAAAAGCTTTTCTATCCCGTCCCCTACTGATAGCTCAGGACGGCTTGCCATAAATATTGTTCCCTTGCGCGTTGGTCCTTCTTTCCCTCCATTTGTAACGGAAGATAGGAAAGGGGTTTTGTTGTGCTTTCTTTGTTTCTTTGAAAGGGGAAGTTTCGCCAGATGATGAAAACAATCATGGGAACCCTTCTTAACAGCTCCACAAACTTCTTCAAGCACTTATGTTTCCCTTTCAAACACATCTTGTGTTTCCGTCAACAGTTTTGACCTCGTCACTAATGGCGGGATCTCCATCATCTTGCATTTTGAACGGGCACCCTTCATTACTCAAGATCACACCCTTTGGCTGCCATGGGATCACTTCTTTGTCATGGAGACCATAGTCATGAGGCACGAAGAAAACGATATTCCCAGCTGTGACTTGAGCAACTTTGCCCGGCCAAACCCTGTCGTCTCGCCATCCCCACTGACGGCTTTTGCCAGCTCCTGCTCAGAGAGAGGCCCCATCGTGCCGGAGATCCAGGTATGTGTTGTGAGGGGCAGCCCGGTATGTAAACAATCCACACATTCTAGAGCAATAAAACTAAAGTCCTTTAATGCTAATTGTCTACAGGATTTACAATTCTGTAGATAAGTTCCCTAATAGCGGCCCTTGCTAAGCAGCTGTCAGCCCTGTAATGGCTTCTCTTCCTGAGCCCACGTGGAATCATCCTCCCAAGTCACGCCTGTCCTCCCTCTTACGCTGTCTACTTTGTAGTTGTTCAAATCTGCGTAAAAGACGTCTGTTCTCAGCTTTTGAGAAATCCACGACACCTAGTGTGTCTTCTGTTTCTGGCTCAGGGAGGTCAGCGTCGGGGGGAAGAGGCAGTTTGCTCTGCCTCCTTCTGAGTAGAACTTGCAGCTCCCTCTTTCTCACGACTCTCTGTCTCTGATAACGGTCCAGGCGTTTGCTCAACGGGCTGGGGCTCAGGGGAAGACGCAGCAGCTGGCTCGGCTGTCCCTGCATTGGGTTGTGGGGTGACTCTTGGGCACTGGGTGCCAAGTGCAAGGTCTCCTCGTGAGTCACAGTTTCTGTCGGAGCTTCATGCACGACAGTAGGCTGTGCAAGCAAAAATAGATGTCCTTATTCAGAACTCTTCCACTCCTGTCTGAGCTGTGCAGGAGAGAAAACTCTAGGGGTCCAGCCCTTTGGAGACGCCATCTTAAAGGAGTTTTGTTTAGCTTTGTGCTTTATTTTTAATTGCAAAGCATCCACCGGTTTTGAGTTCACTAGATGGCGTTTGTGTACACACACGTGTGCATGCATGTGGCTGAAAGAGTGGGCAGAGGAATTACTCTCCCTAACACTCATTCTGTTGCAAAACACCTCTCTAAGCTGCTTCCCCCCCCATGGAGAGAAGGATACCTTTTCCTCCACAGACAGAAAAACAGCTGGGAAGAATTTTGAACTGGAAAAGTCCTGCAAGGAGAGGTTGAAACACCTCCTCGCCTAATACCGTTCCCCCACTCAGCTCACAGCTGCCTTCTGTTAAGAAAAAAACAGTGTCTGCTATCGGGAAAGCCATCACAGAACCGCAGTTCAGATTTAATGCACGTGTTGGCAGAGTACAGTGTACAGGCAGGCGTCCAGAGGTTGGTTCAGAAAGCTTGCAGGTTTGGAAGGACAGAGGTAGAAAACAGGTAGAAAGTCAGCAAGAACAGAATCGGCCCAGAAGTGACGGGGACTGTTGAAAAACTTGAAGAACCAGCAGCGTTTTCTCTGCTGTTGCTCTCTGGCTGGGCCGCAAGAGGGTCTGCATGCATATAGAAGGCAGCGTTCTGAGTTTATCCAAGCCTACCCTGCGTGGCCTTTCTCTCCCTTCCCCTCCCCACTCAAGACACGCACATTACTCCGCACAAAGGCTTCTCCCGCTCTGGGTCTTTGACGAATTTGCATAGATATTTGCATCCTTTTGATAGTTAAAGCTCACATGGCTATGGTTTGTTTCTGCTCATATCAGATAGACTGATGGGAAATGCTGGTTAAGCATTAATCTGTAGTTGTGACTGCTGGGAAAGGAAAGGGGGAAACCTCCTAGGGCTGTTATTTACCATTTGGGAGTAGGCAAACATGGACTCAGATTCATGGCTGAAGGCCTGAAACGAAGCAGGCAAGAGGGATCCGGAGATTCCTGTCTCCTGTCCTACAACCTGGTTCCCACCAAGTGACAACTCAGGATGCAGGTTGTTGCTGAATCATGGGCTGTTGTTACATGCAAATCTTGCACTATGATTTAACTATGGTTTGTTAACCACAAACAGCCCGGGAACAAAACGCATGCTGGGCAGTGAACAATTCTGGCTCTTATTCAGGATTACCAAGCCCCTGGTTGAAAGCAGAGATTTTCGAAGGGTCGGGGACCTCAAAATGTGAGTTCATTTGCCCCTTTTGACAGTGCCTGAGTGGAAACAGGATTTCCCTCTCAATTCTACGACTACCTTGTCAGTCCCTCTGTTTCCCAAGCCAAAAAATGTTACCTGGGCAGCAGGTAACATGCAGCCGAAGGCCTCCTCAGTCGCAGGAAAGATTGCACAAAATCTCCCCAGGCTGCAAATTGCGCTCAGTACGTAGCGTCTGTCGGGGATCACTGACCTTGACGACAACCTCCATGTTCCCCGGTGGAAATGGAGCTCCATATTTCAAGCCTTCGTGGCCACTCCACAGTTAATGGAATGCTGCCAGGTATGTAAGAATGCGCCCCTCTTGAAAATGCACGTGTTCACATAGGGTTTTCTTCACAGGTGAGCAGCTCTTACTGCCCTGTTCTATTGTTGTGGCATTGTTATTAAAAGAAAAAAATGTTGATCCTGTGGTAGTGAGAGTGCTGGACTAGGGATCCAGGAGACCTGGGTTCTAGTCCCCACTAGGCCGTAACGTTCACTGAGTGACTTTGGCCCAGTCACTCCCTCTGAGCCTGACCTACCTCACAGGGTTGTTGTGGTGAAGATAAAGTGGAGCTATGTAAAAGTCACAAAAGCCATGGCCCCCCATCCCAGATGGAGAATTCTGCACTTCAGGCGAGCAGTATGAACTAAGCATTCCTATTATTTCACATATCACGTTCAGCAGTGGGGACAACATGTGCTGCTGGACCCACATATTTTGAAATGCCCATATATCTTTAAAACGCAAACTAAAATTCTCTGGGGGCCTGATTCTCTCCCCGTTAACAAAATTCCACACTTGCATGGTACTGTTGCAACAGAGAAGCCACAACAGTTAGAATTTTTGTCCATTTATAGGGTAGGCCTGTCAAAGAGTCTAACAGAACTAGCATTTTCAGACCCCCCCCCCCCCCCCCGTGTTGGACAAGATGTGGCAAAAAATGTTTCCTTTGTAGTTATTTTTGCCTGATATTCTCCCACACTGGCTGGCTGTGAAGTGAGGTTGCATTAAAGGGCCACTGTCTCTCCCCCGGCTCTTCTCAGCTTGTGACCGACTGTATAAACTCCCAACGTGCCTGGAAATTGTATTCTAAAAGAAAAGGACTCCTTTTCCCCAGCTCTCTTGTCTTTCTCCTTCATGTGCTGAGTTACATAAACTGAAGAGGCTGCATCAGAGAAAGTAAATATTCCTTAGAGCAAGGCAGGCCATGGTATTTCAACTTCCTGATCGGTGGGTTTGTTGAGAGATGCTAAGCCAGGGAGCTTATCAGCTATCCTTTCAGGAAATATTTTGAATCTGTAACAGTAGATGTAGAAGTAGCTTTTTAAAAAGAAAAAAGTTCTTTAAGTAGGGCTGTCACCTGATAGAAAAAAAATCTTTGTTCATTAAATATGTATTTATTTTAATTTTTACATTGCTGCTCTACCTCTGCATAGAAAATGCCCAAGGGAGCCAACAGCAATGAAACTCAAGATAAACTTAGAGAAACAACAGAACAAATAAACAATACAAAGCTGGCTAAAAATCAGATAGTATCATACAAAATGTCAACCAGTTAAAACTTGGTTAAAATAGAATGCAGTGTTAATACAAGGAGTAGCAGAGAAAAACCACATAGATCCAAATTTTGATCTATTTGATGGTGTTTTGATGGAAAGAGCCTTTCTGAAAGACCTTGAGCACCTTTGTTTTGGCTGTAATAGTGTACCTCTGGCATATTCTCCTGGCATTATTCATCTCCATTTGGAAATTATTCCATGATGCATGAACCCAGGCATTATGATTAAAAATCTGAAGAACTAGTCAGAGGTTAACTGTGGTTTGTTCAACCCTTGATCAACCCATAATATCTGGGTTTGCACATCACAGGTTGATACATATTCAGATTGGTATGTATGAAACACACGCCCCCTGCTGGAGCACCATTCCAGAGGGTGAGAAACCAAAGTCAAACACAACAGACCATGGTTTGATGGGCCATCTCAAACCTCCAGGCGGGCTTAATGGTCAGTCTCAGAGATAAAGGCACCGTTTTCATCAAATCTGAGAGCTGTGAATGAATGGAACCGGGGGTCAGACTAGATGGCCCGAGAGACCCCTTCTGACTCGCTCTGTTTCTGTTTCTGTGAATGAGAGGCACATCCTCAGGTCTACCAGGCAAAAATCCACAGAGTACCATAGAGGTATTATACATTTTTTTGCACAAAGGCATCTGCTGTGTCTCATGGCATTAAGATGTTCTCAAGTAAAGTTTGCACTGCCATGCATGGTGCATCTGCCAACCTTAGTAGGACAATGAGATCCTAAGAGTGATGAGTGTGTCCCAAGATAAAGTCCCAAATTTAAACCCATTTGCAAGCTTAAACACATTCAAACAAATGAGAAACTCCCGTTTGCCTCCAGAAACAAAAAGTTGTACTTCTTCTTATAGATGCTGGATGATTTCTTTCCATGCTATTAAAAACAACAACAGAAGCAAGTCATAAATTACAGCCCTGCTTATGTTTCTCAGCCAACTCAGTATGTAATTTAATAGCATCTCTTTTTCATTATTTTTCCTTCTTTTTGTTTCTTCCTTTTTTATACTCAGGCCTTACAAGAAGAGATTAAAATTGCAGGCAGTAAAATCAAGTTGAGCTACTTGAGTAGCCGCACGTCGGGCTATAAATCCGTCCTTAGGATCACCTTGACCCACACCACCATACCGTTCAACCTCATGAAGGTTCACCTCATGGTCGCCGTTGAGGGTCGCCTTTTCAGGAAATGGTTTCCTGCATCCCCGGATCTCTCGTATTACTTCATATGGGACAAGACTGACGTGTACAACCAGAAGGTGTATGGCTTATCAGAAGCCTTTGGTAAGATGTCATGGCCGCATCTGAAGGACGGTCTCCTGCCCAAGGGGCTGCCCATGTGGGTGGGCCATGGAGGCCCTTTTGCATGTCCCATTGCCATCGGAACCCCAAATTTCAGGAACGTATGTGAAGGTGTTCTCTGCAGCTGCCCCCCTACGGTAGAGCTCCTTGCCCCAAGAGCAGAGTCTGCTTCCCACCTTCCCATCACTTTTATTCTGTTAGTCCTCTGACTTGGGTGATCCCACGTTTAATCCCCTGTGGTTTATTTGAAATTGGGACTGAGGTTCTTAATCTTTGCCTCCTTGTATTTTTATGTTTGCTAGGTTTGGGCCGAGGGGTTAGCTTGATACTTTCATGGGGGTTTATGCTGGAAAAGAGGGGCAAAACATAAATACTTTCAGTATCATAACAGAAGTGGTAGCAGAAGTCCATAATTAAATCTCCCAGTGAGTTTAATAGGTGTGGAACGGGGGAGGGACAGAGAACGTGAGTCCTTTCCCCAAACCAAATCATCAGCTCCCTCCAACTGGATATGCTCGCCGTTCCTGCTTAGCCACGTCCATGAGCCTCCACGGCCAGTTGGCCACTATCATGGGCAGAAGAAGGTGCATCTCGATGGATGCAGCTCTTCCAAATCTGGACCTGCCCTCTGTTTGCCCCAGACAAACCTCCTCCCCGAGGCCCCGAGAAAAGGGACAAGGAACGCTCATTGCTCTCGCAGTAGCACATAACCTGCCACAGGTAAGGGCCACGGGAATGGTCCCAACTGTGTGGCTTAAGTGGAGATTCTCAGCATTTTGATGTTTCTCTTTCTGCCCTGCTTCAGTGGACATTTCTGGCCAATAAAGCAGTGCGGAAGAGGAGAACGCAAGCTGGAAGACCTTGAGGGTCCCTTGTCTAATAAACACGTCCCTGATCCAACTGTATTTAAATAATTGGCACAGTTGTTCAGCATCTATTAAAAGGCTGAGCTTTTTTAATGCACAGTAGCCTTCATAGCGGGAAGCCCTGTGTGGACATGAGAGTGTTTTACGCAGGAATTGGCTCTAGCCAGCAGAAATGCCCTTCTGCTCAGGGCAGCCTCTGCTGGGTGCTGAGCCTGCACTTCTGTGGCGATTAACTTCTGGGTTTCTTTGCTCTCTCTATGGCTCCTTCTTGCTCCCAGTTTCGGTGGGCTATGAATATGAATCGTGTCCTGACTTGATCCTGTGGGAGAAGCGGACGGCTGTGCTTCAAGGTTACGAGATCGACGCTTCCAAGCTCGGAGGCTGGTCCCTGGACAAGCACCACGCACTCAATATCCAGAGCGGTATGTCCTCTTTTAGAACCGACCTCCTCCCTCTCCCCAATTGTAATAATAAAAATAGCACGGGCCTGACACAGTTTGCACGGAGCGTGGCAGCTTTCTCACCATTAATAATTCAACTCAAAGGGGAGGGGAATGCACACTCATGCACATATATTGCTAACAAATTATTTATTGTAACCTACATACTGTGCCAACTTTCTGTGTGTGCATGCATGAAGCCAGAGTTAGAAGACGAACACGGGCTCCGCAGATCCATTTGCAAGCATTTATTTCTGGCAGGGCTTGCTCCTAGTTAGAACTGCCGTCTTTAAAAGACATTCCAGGGCGGCCAGAGCGAGGAGGAGGAAATCTCGGCACGGACACTGTGCGGGTTTTCACATCACGACAACCTGTCCTCACCCTGAGCCACCGTGGTCACCTGCTGAGAAAACAGTCCATGGGGTGCCCACTGTGATACAGAGCCATTTTCGGCCCTCTGTGACTTCTTTGCATTTCAGTTATTTTTTTCAGAGATGGCAGGGGCTGGTTTAGCGGAAGGCGCTACAATTCCTGTTTTCACAGCCCCATCAGAGACCCCCAGCAGCGTCCTAGAGCAGCTGGCCCTGACTGCCAGATTTATTTGTTTGTTTCTGGCGCGCAAAATGGGAGCAAATACATTTGCATGATTGTGATTGCAATTTTAATACAGAAGGATCCCCGTTGTGCAAATGTGGAAATTTGAAGCCTCGGATGGGGCAAAAACAAGGATATTGCCTCCCGAAGGCTCCAAATAAATTCTTTTTTCCCCTTTCTTTTGACAGCTGTCAAAAAAGCAAGCTGTCAGGAGGTAGAAAAGCTGCAAAAGATCTTTCCTCGTGCAAAGTGCGTGATGTGGTTTACACCACCTTCATGGCAATATCTTGCAATTTATTTTTCACTCTGACAATCTTTAAGGTGAAGGACATTTTACATGTATCCCTGAGATTCTAGGTGCTTGGAAAAGTCCATCTCTTCACACCATTCCTTTCCTTGGGAAAAGGAATTGTGACAGCTTCCCAGGGATTGTCAAAATGGGGTTGCGACCTGCCAAGGGAAATCTCCAAAACAAAAAGTTGAAATTGAGAGGCAGTGTGGTGTGGTGGTTAGAGTGCTGCTTGGAGGACCTGGGAGACCGGGTTCTAGTCCTCACTCAGCCATGAAGCCAATGGAGTGACTTTGGCCAATAGCCCAACTCGCAGCCCAAGCTGTCTCACAGGGCGATCGTTGCGATGCAAAAAAAGAAAGGAATGTGCAGCAACAATGTCAAACAGTTGTTTCTAAAAACTTGTTCAATGGATAGGTGAAAATTTAGATCCCCATATTGCTCAGAGTCCCAAACAGCATATCTACAGGTGTTCATAGAACTTGGCATTCCACCAACCTTTGACTCACATAGGAAGGTCTTCTATCCTGAGCTGACTTAGGGTTTCCCCATCCAGCCAAGTACGGACTGGTCATAAGTTTGTAGGCCTCCAAGACCTTAAGAAGAAGTCTTTGCCATCATCGGCTGCCTGATCCTAGGAATGTTCCATTCATGCAGCATCAGACCCTGCCCTGCTCGCAACTCCAAAGGCAAATGGTGCCTCACAGACTCCTGGGTTTGCAGTGGCAAACCATGTGATTAGTAGACACATGTGCATTTGGGGGAGAGATATGCATTTTCATACTCTAATCAGTGCAGGTAAATTTCCATGTTCACATTAAAAAATAATTACTGAAAAGTATCCTTTCGAATCATGGAAGGAAAGAAAGAAAGCACTCACAAGAACAAGGCGATCTGAGCTTCAGGCTGGAAACTAGAGAAAATAGATATGCTCAAGCTCAAGCTGCACTGATTCTGCCAAATTCGCTTGGTCTTTTTAACTGGTAGATGCCAAGGGGTAAACCCAGAAATATTAATATGTGCAACAACTGCTCAACCATAGTTTGTTTGTTTATTTAAGACTTTTATATAACGTCCCATCACTGACATCTCAGGACAGTTTGCAATAACACCAATAAAACAAGATAAAGAGATAAAAATAGCATAAGTGGGAACCTGTTTAGTTAGTTACTCTGTCCATTTGTTCATTGGTTTGTTTAATGTTCCTCCCATTTTCCATGGCCTGGCTTTCCTCGCCTCTCTTATTTTCCCAATCTGGGCTGCCAATGATTGCTCGACAGCTAGGAATGTCTGAGAATTCCGGTTTTCTTTGCAAAACAGGCGTGTATGCCCTGCTCAATCCTCCAACCACGAGTCTGAGCCCATGTCCGCCAAAAATATTCTCAAATGGTCAAACACAAACAATTTTGTTTCTCCTCCAACTTTGATCTCCACCAGTTTGCTCTGACTGAATCAGCCCCCTTTCAGTCTGTGAAGGGAATTTCGGGTGATCTGCTGAAATGCATGGCTGCCACTTCCAACTCACTCACGCAGAAGTGGTCCCTTTTATTTTTTCCTTGTGTGGCTATCCAGGTATCTTACATAAAGGAAATGGGGAAAACCAGTTCATCTCTCAGCAACCACCTGTCATAGGAAGCATCATGGGGAATGGACGTCGCAGGAGCATCTCCTGCCCGAGTTGCAATGGCCTTGCGGACGGGAACAAGCTGCTGGCTCCTGTTGCCCTAACCTGCGGGTCGGACGGAAGCCTCTACGTCGGAGACTTCAACTACATCCGAAGGATCTTTCCCTCGGGAAACGTCACAAACATACTGGAGTTAAGGTATTGCCTGGTGCAGTCGGCATTCTCTCAACCAGCCCGATGCACCAATTATTACACCCCAAAATGGCTATCTGAGGAGAACATTGCATGGAATCATAGAATGGTAGCTTTGGAAGGAGCCAAGCAGGCCATCAGGTCTCACCCCTTGCTCAGCGCAGGGCTCCAAGTTAAGCCATTCCTCTCAGATGGCTGTCCAGCTCAGACTTTTTTCTCCAAAGGACAGAAACACTAGATAAGGGAAATGTGGCTTCCGTGCGTGGTAAATAACGGGATGGCCAAAGAGAAGGCTTAAAAAGTTAAGCATTGCCCTTCCATGGTGTGTCTGCTGGGAGCACTGAAGATTAGCATGCAGCCGCGAGGAAAAATCTAACCTTGGAAGGATAGCTCATAACAATATGTAAAGGATATTCAGGGCATTAGAGGGTCATGCATAACGAGAGCACTACATTAAATATGATTTATATGTCTGACTCTATCTTGAAGTTGCCCTCTTTCCAACTATCCTACCAACTCCCTGTAGAGGAGAAGCAAAGAGGACAAAATTGCAAATGCAGGCTCTACCGAAAATTAGCCTAATGCAATGGGTTCTTCTGGGGATGTGATACAAACAGCACTACCTCCATCCGCATCCAAAAGGAGGCATCCAGGAATCCACACCAGCCATTTTGCAATGTATGACATGATTCCATAACTGGGCATAGTACTTCAGGCAGTATCATTAGCAACAGATAAGTCCCTGCCACTGAAGACTTTAGAATCTGAGTTGAAATAGGAGGGGAGAGAGAGAACTGAGAGGAACAGGAGGTGGAAGTGTACAAGGGCATGACTTTGGTGGGGAACTAAGGGGCTAGGCTAAACCTAAGAGGTGAGAAAAACACTAGCATAATACACAGTCAGAAATTCTAGAACCGAGTCGAGAAAGGCCATTGCTTTGATTCCCAACCTGTGGATGCAGATGGAGGTGTTGCTGTAATCCTGCCTCTGTGTGACACCTGGCACTGGCAGGCTGAGCAAGAACCAGGTTCAGCTTAGTACCAGACAGGACGCTCAGGACTGCATTGCCATGGGGCTCCCTCAAGCAGAAGGCTCAGGCTGAGTCAGTCCACCTATCTCAAAAACACTGTCTTCTTGATGGGTGGAAGCCCTCCAGAGCCTCAGAAAAGGGTCTTTCCCCGTGAGGAGGGAGAGAGAGAAATATTTGCCTGGGAAATGTGCAAGAATAGGATCCCAAAACTAAGTTAGTTAGACCGCATGGGAAACTGCTTGCATCAGAGTTCTTAGGGAACTCTCAGATGGTATGGAAAGCCACCATGTAGGACATCAGACTTTGTCCATCTAGCCCAAGGATGCAGAGCATGTGACCTTCCAACAGTGGTTGGTCCACAACTCCCACCAGTCCCAGTCAGTATAGCCTATGCTGAGCCATCGAGGGAGCTGTAGACCAACCATCTCTGGAGGACCACATGTTTTCCAGCCTTGACCTACCCCAAAATAGTTTGCTCTGATCAGAGTAGTCCCTTTGGATCTCAGTTGAAGGGTTTTCCCATCACCTAATACTTTTTAAGTAGGGGTGCCATGAATTGAACTGTATGTGGAAATCTAGGGCATCACCCCTAGTATGTACGTATGTATGTATGTATTTATTTAAAACATTTCTATGCCGCCCCATTGCAACAAAGCCTCAGGGTGGCTCACAACATTCATAAAAACTACAATTAATAATTTAAAAACTGGTACCATCTCACTATATATATTAAGATCTATAAATACAATAATAATAAATTAACATGATAATAAAGTAATAATTCCTCCCCTTCACACATGCACACACACAGAGCGAGCGAACACATTGCTTTTAACCTTTAGCATATCTTTTGAGCTGGGGTTTGAAGAAAGACGTAGAGCAGTTTTACACAGGTGTTTTGGGGAGGGTTCCCAGGTAAAGATGTACCAAAACGGAAAGCCAGCCATTTTGAGCTTGTAAGATTTCATTCCCACTTCCAGTCTGGTGATCTGAAGTGGGCTGAGTCAGGGAAGGAGGTGGGATTTCCATGTGTAAGACAGTGCGCTGTGTGTGTGTGTGTGTTCACCACTAATGACATTTGTGCAAACAAGCACCCAAAGACCACACAGCTCTAGCATGATTTACATAGAATTGGCCAACTTGTGCATATCATTGATTCTGCACAAAATCGCACTAGAGCCACGTGCTTTTGGGGTGCTGCTTTGCGCAATTATGTGCAAATCACAGTCCGTCTTGGAGAGAGAAATCTGCCCGCAGACTCAGCCGGCTGGCCCTGGTGCCCTGCACCAGTCAAGAAAAACCATACTTTGGAATGGACTGACTCAGCCTTAGTCAGCTCCCGGTATTCCTGAGCCTTTTGCTTCAAGGAGCTTCTCTGCAGTGCAGTCCTGAGATTCATGTCTAGCACTAAGAAACCAGAATCCAGATTCCTCCTGCTTCGCTAGTCTCAGGCATAGCGGGCAGGAAGGAGAACAGAGCAGCCTTTTTCCGGTTTTGGTTATGTTAGTTTACACTAGATTTTAATTTATATGCCACCTTTCTACAAAGGAAATTGTGTTGAGAGTGGTATGCAATATACAAGGTAAAGAAACAATAATAGCATAGTAACAGCATTTATTATGCTATGAGAAATAATAAATAAGCATTTCAGTAATAATGCTACATTTGAAAGATAATATTAACAGTTTGGTAATATTTCAACAGCTTGCAGTTTAAAACTGAACAAAAACATTTGCATACATATTAAAATCTAACTATTAAAATCCCTTTACAAGTCAGCCTGGTATCAGAACGAAACATATTATTTTGGCAACCCACCTGCCAACCCAGGCTACCTGTTGGGATGGCTTTCACACCGCCCCTCCTCCAGCGACATTCATGAGTTGTTTTCCATTTCTTAACCTGTGGAGATGGTTGTGGCAAGGCAGGTAGAGGTGGCCTGACCCTTGAGGGCCACCAGGGCATGTACCTTCTCTTCGGAGATCAGGAGACCTTGTGGTACCTGAACCTGTAAAGTGGGAGGAGCAGCATCATAAGACAGAGGTAGGGCAACAGGCATGGATTGGACTAAGCCCTTGCAGAGCATTACCAAGAGCTTTGAAGGTAAGGACAAGGAGCTTGTATTTCATGTTAATGTTGTTGGAAAGGCTCTTTCTCAACCTCCTAGAGACTAGATGTTCTACCATCAAACCAGGTGGAAGTGCTTTTCCACTGCACTTCTCCTATGCCCCTCTTAGTAGTAAAATGGCAGAACAGAGAAGCTGCTGCAAGGATCTGCTCTTAATGCCTACAGTCCTTGAAGACACAAACATGGGTTCTCCTGAAGTCCCGATTTTTAGAGATGGCATGAAGATGTGTGTGGACTTAGCTTCAAACCGAAACAGTTTGAGAGGCCTGAGTCCGTGCTGGACGCAAGTTTTCCTGTCCCAAAGTACCCTCGGTGGGCACTCAACATGCAAGTGCTTGTGAAAGAGCTTCGGGGTGGGTGGACCGTTTCAGCTTCCATCCCGCCAGCACCTGCAGGCTTCCTCTTGTGCTGGGCTGCAAAGCGAGCTGAGCCAAGGGGAAGTCCGTGGACCCTGGTTGCACCACCAGCAACCTTAATGTCCAAGCGGAGTGGGCAAAGGGTGCCTGCAGGGCGTGGAAGAGGGGCGCTGCAAGTGAGAGGGTGCGCCGGGGCAGTCCTGGCAACCTCCTTTCTTCCCCAGCCAGTGCAGCCCGTACCAGCGCAAGGCATGGAAGAGGGCGCTGCTTGCCCAGTGCGCAGTGCACAAAGCTTGTCTTGTGACAAGTGTCCCATGAGCAGTGGGAGCGCTTGCCAGGAATTCAGACCTAGAGCCGCTGCAAAGTGGGCCAGAGTCTGGAGAGACCAGCCCAGGGAATCCAGCAGATTCCCATCCCCAAACAGATCGCTTGCACATCCCAAAATGCTTTTTCCTAGTCCCGTTGCAACCTGATGGGGTTGCTTTATTCCATTCGTTGCATCAGAGTGGAAAACAAATCCAACACTGGTCAGGGCCCCCATCACACCTCGGCATGTTATTCCTTTAGCGTTTTCCCCGTTTTCCAAAGCAACAAAAGGTTGTACAAGGGAAGCAAGAAAACAAGCTTGTGGAGAAGAATCAGGAGCAGGGGCTAAAAGCAAGCCCCCCCCCCCCCCCCGCGGTCATCCATACAGGAATGGCTTTTAGTCCTCCCCACCCCAGTTTAGCCCCTAGTATTGTCCTCCTGTCTCCATAGGAACTAATGGCCCCATTCATCCTTTTGGGAGGAGGGCAAAGGCTGCTAACATGAGTCCTCAGATTGGCTGGAAGAAAGACCTGAATTCTTGCAATGTGCATGGTGTGGAGGAGAGAACCGCTTGGGTAAATTCTAACTTAATCCAATTCCTTATTGAAGCACCACTTGCCCAGATAGTGTGTTGGGATCAGTTTCCTAAATTAGAAGGCGGAGGATCAGGGAGGAGGGATCCAAGTTCAGTGGAAGGCTGTGTGCTTTGCCGGGGGGAAGCCCGGGCCAAGAACTACTTCCTTATGAACGGCAAAGTTGCCAGTCCTAGGAGAGACGGCCCAGTCGCCTCCTTCCACCCAAGCTGCCCCCCTGCCCCACTTCATTCCTAGATCCTGAGCGGAACAACCTTATTCCGGCTGCAGAGAAGCTAGAAACTCACACCGGGGCGACAGCTGCTCCGGCCATTGCTGCCGCTGCTGCTTTTATGCTTACCTTCCAGGGATCAAGAAACTATAAAAGCCCACAGCCTGCCCGTCTGGCTTGCCTTGGCTAACAGCCATCAGGGGAAACGGTGGCTTGGGGCACGAGTGGTTTTTATCTGTGTCTTTTCAAATTGCCTTCCCTTGGAGAAGAATGCCATTCAGTGTGGTTTCTTTATTGAAGATCAGGGGGGTCCATGTATCTAGGGGGGAAATGGCAGCTGTAAAACAGGGTTTACAGAAAGATTGCGGCAAGGGAAGGTTTTGTGACTCAGGCCAGAACACTGGTTCAGCTCTCTCCCGTGGCCGCTTTGTGAGTCTCACCCAGAAAAACATGAAAACGACGTTGTTGTTGCCGGCAACGCTGCGGCTGCTGAATGGCCTTTCGAAACAACAGAACGCACAGGCTCTTTTTGACGAAAACGTTGGATGCTGACTGTATGGCTCCATTCGCACCATGGGTCTTCCTGAAGCCTGCTGCCTTTCAGTCTGGGGCTGCTTTTGCCCCGAGAAAACAGAGCATCAAAAGCAAGCTATGGGCGCATGGACATAGGAAACGTCGTCAGAGGGTTGGTCTGTCTGACCACTCCCATCATCCCAAACTGGGATAGAGCCCAACACCTCCGGGGTGTCACAGGTTGGGGTGGGCTGGTGCAGAGAGAAAAGAGCTAGCTGAATGGATGCTTTGACTTGGGAAGGATGATCAGTGCTCACAGATTGGTCACGGAAACAGAGCGAGTCAGAAGGGGTCTCCCAGGTCATCTAGTCTGACCCCCGGCTCCACTCACAACATGCCTACCATGTGCATGTCCAGCCTATCCTTGAACACCCTCATCGATGGGGCTTCAACCACCTCCCATGGAAGCCCATTCCATACCCTGGGGTCCTAACCATGAGGATGTACTTCCTGGCATCCAAATTGAACCTTGGTTCCCTGAGCTTGGCTCCGCTGGAACGTGTCCTGCCCTCCTCCATAATTCAGAGGGGGACAAGATGTGGCGTTTGAAGTTCCAAGAGGATCTTCCATTTTCTAAGTTTAGCATCAACTGTGGATACAGATCTGATCATGACGGCAACATGAGGGAAAGTGGGCTTAATCATTCCCCCTACCCTCTCTCCCTGGTTGCAGTCACACTCATACACACACGGACTCCTGTCGTTCCATGGGGCAAATAGCAATAAGGGGCATATTTAAATGGGGGAACAGCAGGAAAGGAAGGCTTCAGTACTTCCCCTCTGTCTCCCATACGGCAGTCCAGCTTGGATTCAGAACCTTTAGTGCAGCTGCCATTGAATCTTTAGAAAACAGGGAGATCCATCCAAAGTGTGCTCACATCATGGCTAGTTCCATCCTTTGTCAGAGTTTTCTGCCTCACTATGTTAGCTGAAATTCATGTTAAGAGGAGGAGTCAACAAGCTAACCCAAAATCTTCCCGGAGAGTTTTGCTTTCTCCCACATTCAAATTTTTAAAATCTCAAAGTCTCTCTCTCCCAAGCATGGAGAACTTGGTGAGTGTTAGCAATCCTCATCAAATTCATATCAAAACAAGTTGAAATGGAAAGTATATCTTTCTGTCCCAGCCAAATTCAATAGGTACAAGTTATTTCTAGCATGGAGAGAGCTGTGGTGTATCTACCTAGTATAGCTGTTAAAGGTGAGCAGCCCCCAGAAAAAAGAGGTGGCAACGCTAATGGACCTGATCCAGAGATCCAGTCTCTGACTTTGAAGAGCTAAGCCCTCGAACCTTGGCACCTGGATGGGCAAATCTATCCATTTTGTTTCTCCCAGATTTCATTTTTTTAAAAAATCAAGTTCTTTTCCCTCAAAGTATGCAAAACTTTGACTCGCATTCTGAACTGGAGCCCTGAACCTGGAATCCACCATGTCTTTTAAACTGAGATCATGCCAGCCCAAAGACATGACCTCTTGAATGATACCGTTCCGTTCCAAGGGTTCCATCCTGCTGCTGTCATTTTCGGTCCGTGCGAATGGGCACAGCACGGTGCAACGTTGCAGCGTTGCTGATGGTGAGCAGTGCGGACGATCTATTTGCCATGGGGTACCGTGGGGCAGAGCAGAGGTTCGGCAAAAGGACGTGCAATTCCATGGAGGAGGGGGTCAACCTTAAATAAAGGAGAGCGTCCCTTCAAAGATATCCAGTTGAAGGTGGAGAATCTCCCAAGAGATCAATTTCTGCTGAGTTATTTTTACGGCTGGGGGCAGGTGAAATTAAGCAAACAAGGAAGAAAACATGGTCTGCAAGGTGGGAACAGGGCTGTTAGAACTCCTGCTTTTACTAGGTGGGCTGCCGGAGCACAAAGTTACAGGCCCATAATCTGGGGCAGGAAAGGGGGAAGATAGGTTTTGCTAGAATAATGAAGAAGTGGAATGCATACCTCAAAAACCCTTCAGCCTGCGAGAGGGAGAGGAAGGATGCTAGTTTAGGGTGCTACAACCTTACTTAAAATTGGGAGAAAAGTTTTGGCAGAAGGATTGTCAGCTGCATGGGACAAGGGAAGAGGGAAAACCGCAAAACCTCTGTGGTCAGTAAAGGGGAAGCCTGAGGCTTACCAGTATCCGTGGCAGCTAGTCACAGATAAGGGGAAGTGCCACACATGCATCCCCCCTCTCAGATTGAGACAGATGCTACCCCAAATAGAGAGGGGCAAGGTGGTGGGTGAGATGAAAGGACACAGTTACTCCAGCACGTGCAGAGAAGTTGCCAGTATTGGAGCAAAAACGGGGCTGGAGTGGCTCCTACAATTTTCCCCACGGCATCCACACAAACACCCTGCTCACCTGCCAAGGCAACTTGGAAGGCAGTCGGGAAGCCACGTTTTGGGCGATGGACAGCAGCCCATATGGCAATTCATTGACAAGTCACCTCCATTATGAAACTATCAGTCTCGGGCTTGCTAAATCTTTATTACTGTCGCCTTGAACAGTGCGATTGTTACTGTCAAGTTTTCTGCCTGCTAATAATACTTGGAACTCATCCTCTAACCCTCTCTCTCTCCCTCTCTCTCTTCCTCTCCTCCTTCCCTCTTATCTTCCTTCTGCGTTCCTGTTCTTCTGTCAGAAATAAAGATTTCAGACATAGGTAAGCCAACAAGTGAAGAATTGTCGCTTTCTTTTCCCTGTCTTTTTGGCATGCGCTCTCTCTTGGTTTTCTTGCCTGCTGAGCTATTTGCACATGATGAATATTTTGGGGTTTTCTTAATTTTGGAAGCACCTTAAATTAGTGGTGCCAGGAAGAAGTTAAAGATAAAAGAAGGCCCTTGCCACTCTGTGTCAAGCATGGATGTTTTAATTAATGCCGTATCCACATAGGAACCTTTCTGCACTGCATTGACCTTTTTGGTTTTGAATCTCTGCTTTGGGACATGTTTCATTTGTTTACTGTGTTGTTGCCAGCAAACCCGGGGTCTACTCTTAATTAACCACTCCTGAGGAAAGGAAGTGGTAGTTTCCGAGCTCACAAAACACTGGGATCTTGCAAAAAGAAACGTTTCTTTGTGCAGTTAATGGGCCCATTTTGTCTTGTGGAAAATACATTAAAAATGCTCTAGATGAAATGTATATATGCTGACTTCCAAGGTTCTCCTTGATCTTCCCACATTTTCCCAGCATCCCATCCCTCTTCACTACAACATTCAGTCACCAAGACTTAAAGCAGGAAGAAACCATGGCGTAGCAAGCTTTGCCCCAGGTTATTAGTCTACAAGGGTCATTAATGTTCTGCTTGCTCACAGACACCTATAGAAGGCAGTGGTCACTTGTCACCCAGACAATGAGCCTAGTGACTGATAACAAATCTACAGGAATTATCTACCGCATCAAGGTTCTTCGTCGCTGCCCTAGGTCCCCCTCGCCCCATACCGTTTGCTCGGCAGGGCATTACACTACACAATAGCATAAAAGTCGCACTGCACATTTTTCATTGTTCCGATGGGCCATCAAGTCATCTGCAGCTTAAGGCAACCCTATGAAGGAAATCCTCCAAAATGCCCCTTCCTTGGCAGCCCTGCTCTGCTCTTCCTCATTCTAGGCTATGGCTTCCTTTCTGGAGTTTATCCATCTCATGGATGGTCTTCCTTCTCTCCTTCTGCCTTAGCAGGATTGTCTTCTCCAGGGAGTCTTGCCTTCTCATGATGTGCCCAAAGTAGGACAGCCTAAGTTGTGTTTGCTTCTAGGAAAAACTCTGACTTGATTCGCTCTAGGACTCCCTCGTTCGGATGACATATAGCTATGTATATATTATTAGTCATATTTATGTAGATAATGATACAGAGAGATACAAAGAGGTCTGGGTATTACACAATATAGAAATCAATAGTAATGATAATAAATATCTCTTTTGGGCACGTGCATAATGTTACCCTTCAGAATATCCCAGTTTCTTTCAGCTTTGAGACTTTCATTTGGCATCCAGTTACGCCCTTCTGTTTGCAGAAGATCTTTTGATCCAGCAAAGACCTCCACTAACAGAAGAGGAGCAGAATCAATTTTCACAAATTCCCCTTTCACCTACCACCACCCTGCCTTGATTAAAATCTGGTGGAGCAGCCAGGCATCGGGTCAGATTGGCTGAGGGGCAGGATCTGACTCATAGGTCACAGGTTGTCGTCATTCTCAGGTAAAAGGCGCTCATCACTTTTCGAGAAGGCTGGTGGGGGAAATCAGAACCTCCCCTTCCTTCTGGAAGGGAAAGTGGCTAGACAGGTCACTGCCCAGTTGTGTGTGTGTGTGAATCAACTCCTTCTCCAAGTTGAAGAAAGAAGCTCGACTCAAAGTACTTTGGAAGTCCCGAGGCAAGCAAGGTGTGCGAGAATGTCACCTGCTGTTCATCGGCGCCTCGGCTGCCCACCTCTGGTGATTATGAGGGGCTGAACAACTGACTGACATTCGGCCTAGCCTTGTTGAGACAGCTGCTAATGCTGGGACCTGATAAAAATGGATGGTGGATTCCCACAGGGCACTCCCACCCCCCTGGAAAGTGCCTGCCACTTGGCCAGGTTGAGTGACAAGCAAGTAAATGAAATAATACCTTGCCAGTTTGCTGTCATTGGGAAGGAATACAGATGGAGCCCAAACTGCCAAGCTGAGTCCCTGAAGGTCAGAGTATTTTATTTAGCAAGAATCAGTGTCATCTTGTGCAGATGGAATCCGTTCAGCCTTTAATAGGGTAAATCACAGGGGATGTTCTGGGATAAATCAGAAAGGCCTCCCCCCCCCTTGTCCCATCTGTCCAGGTCCCCCTCCGTAAAGGAGGCGTTAATTCGAATGAAGAATCCCAACGCGCGGGGCTTTTAGAAATGCTTTAAGGTTAGAAAATTTAGGGGGTTGAAAGGAAACAGGGTAAGGAAAATTACGGTTTCTGGCAAGATACATGACATGAGCTTTCCTGGACAGCTCAGTGAACAGGGTGGGAAAACAGCCTGTTGCGTGACTCCCGAGTGTGTTGTTTGAGAGGGACTGAAGTGTACTTTGCAGTATTTAGCCACTCCACCAGGTGAACTCAGGGCTGCCTTCCGCTTAGTGTGGGGAAGCCCCACAGCCTTGATCCTTGCCCCTCTCTGTGCAGGATCAAAAGTTACTGAGGAACATCAACAGGGTTGCTCTTCCCCCGTTTCTCTTCTGACAGGTCATTCCACAGGGTGACCAAGGCAGTTCTGGTGCTAAAACCAGACTGGAACCCTGATGCAAATCAGCCAGCATCTGTTTAGCCAGCATGTTCTTGCGTACCTTGCCTGGGAAGAAGGCCTTTGCCACTGGCCTATTTGATTACCATCTTCCAGGTTCAGCCATTTTTTACAGCTTCTTTTAAGGAGGCTGTGGCCGCTCCCCCTCTGAAAGAGGAGCTGAATGAACCTCCTGGCTCCAGCCAGCTGTCCTGCCCTTTCTAGAGGACAAAATTCGTACTCATAAGGGGCAAGGTTTGAGCAAATGTGATAAGCCAAACCTCACCAAGATGGTCACTTTGACCACCTCCTCAGCTTGCACAAACTGGAGTTCCTCAGATGATGTAAAACCAGACAGTATTCCAGATGGTTTCTTAGTTTAGCCTGAGCCAACACTGCAGGCTAAGTCCCTATGGATGAACTGTCTTGTCTCAAAATTTCTTGTGAATAAGACATGGCATGCCACAGAGGGCTCCACTGCATCTCCACTAGAACCAGAATTTAGGGGGTCTGAAGCGCACCAAGGAGCAATGCTGGATTTTGAGAAGAAGCAGTGGCACTGGAGAAAAACGATTCCTTACCTTCTCCACCTCAGATTAGGCTTGACAATGAGCTCTTACTGGTGGACCGGCATCTAAACACCTACTTTTTACCGCATTCTGGAGGCTTCCTGATTTAGTTCATTGAAAAGTAAGCTGAGCATGGAGAGATCACTCGGATCATCTCAGCCACTGTGGTCATCTCTTCATTGCACAGACCAACCAGCACCTCCACAGACCCCTCTGGAGAACATGGGAAAATAGCAGCCGCCAGGGTTAGACCATCCTAACAAAAGATGTCGAGGAGAGCAGCAGTCATGAATCTAAATCTCATCAAGAAATTGAGACTGTCAAGAGGCAGGCGAAAAATTCACTTTGGATGGCTGTTTTCTTGCCCAACACAGAAGACCAATTCAACCATGTGTCCGGTCACATGTGTTGGACTGATGGCCTGTTGGGACAGCATCGTGGGTGTCATAACAGCCATGAAGACCTGAACTACCTAGATCCTGTGGTCTCAGCATGAATGTTGAACTCCTCCAGGTTAATCATTCTGAGGTTCTCAGCACTGAATCAGAGATCACCTCCATCAGCTTAAGGAAAATTCCCAATGTCTCTCGCCCTTAACATAAGTCTTCCCCCAGCTTCTCCACTCGGGTTTCAGTTATGCATAGCAGATCAGTCTCCTCATCCACACTGAAATCAAGAACAAGGGGCATAGAAATGTTATAATAATAATAATAATAATAATAATAATAATAATAATAATAATAATAATAATTTTGCCATGAGCTACCATGCAGCCACTTTGCCACTGATCAAGCTGCTGCCCACTCTTCTTGGAGAGCCACATAGGCTCTCCAACACATCTTCCCTTTCCTCCTCCTCGGTCCACTGCATCTCTCCTACTTATATAGCTTCTCCTGGACACTTCATTACAATCCCTGCTAAGACAATTAGGCCATTTATGAAAGCCCAACAGCCTCAGTTTCCCAATTAATGAACCCTCAATGAACAGTTAGAAGCCCTTCCTTGGGGTAAGGCCACCCATGTGCATATTGGACAGAGTTTCTAGCTGCTACACACGGTGTAACTGACATGCAAAGAGCCAGTCAATGAACTAGTAGGCCATAGTTGTAAACACCCTCCTTCCCTCTCTTGTCAGAGGAGTTGCTCTCACCATCATTCCAGCCCCCAGTGTGGCAACGTGCCCTCCAAGGGGCGACCCCATCCTGGAATCAGTTTAAGGTCAGGTGGTGCAGCCACTGGAGGTGTCTTGCTGGCATTTGTTCATTTCGCCAAGCAACTCGCCACATCTCCAATGCGGGAGCAAGCAAAGAGCAGAGGAACCAAATGTTTGAAATCTTGCCTGCTCCTCATGTCTCCCAACTGCCCCAGCTCCTTCATCACTGATGCCAACTTGCTGGCTTATCCAAGGCCCAGCAGGCTGGCTAGGCATCCGCCCACCTCCAGAAGCTGACTTAAAACTGATGTAGCAGGTAACTGGCACAGCCCTGGTCTCCGTCTCTCCAGCACAGCAACTAAAAACAAGTAAGGAAACCAGATGTCTACCATCTTGTCTGCTTTTTGGCTTCCCTGAGTCTCTCTCATTGCTTGTGCTGGCTTTCTGGCTTGCCCTGGGCACCTGAATGTCACTGGAAGTGGTTGCTCTTGCTGTTCCTCTCACCAGCCCAGCTCTCCATGCTACCAGCCAAGCTGCTAACAAGGAGCAGGAGAACCTGATGTAGCAAGCCCTGCCTGCTCCTTTGATCTCCTAGCTCCTGTATTTTGTTGTCTTAGCTGCTAGGAGCTTGCTGACTTGATGGTGCTGAGATACCGTCACGTTCACAACACCATCATGGTCATGAGCGTAAGCACCAGTTAGAAACACGTTGCATATTCTGTCGTGTTCCTTTTTGCAGCCACAGCCCTGCTCATAAGTATTACTTGACAACAGACCCCATCAGTGGATCCATCTACCTCTCGGACACCAGCAGCCGCCGCGTCTTTAGAATCAAGTCCACCACCATGGTGAAGGACGTGGTGAAGAATTCGGAGGTCGTGGCTGGGACAGGAGACCAGTGCCTTCCATTTGATGATACCCACTGTGGAGACGGAGGGAAAGCAACCGAGGCCACGCTCACAAGTCCCCGAGGTGAGAGGGGTGACCATTCCTTGACAGGATGTGGTGGCTTGCAAAGAAGCCTGTGGTGCCAACACAAGAGGTTCCAGCTGTGTCTAGAAGCTGGGATGGCTCAAACCCTTGAGCAAGACACTTCAGCGAGCCACCTCCCTCAGTGTGTCCCTTTGTGGCCAGCAGCCGTGGTTCCTCTTCCCCCTATTTGTCATGGCGGCATCAGTGCCTTCTTCATCTCTCCACCATATTGTTTAGGCCATGGCAAGGGACAAATGCACAAGCAGGTGGCAGTGGGGACAAGGTGGCTGTTGACAGTGGCCCTTACTGGGGTGTGTGCGCTTGGCAGATAGCCAGCCCTGCCCGTCCTCAATGCCAGCGCCGCCTGTGTTACTGAGGTGGCGGCCTTCAGCAGCACTGTCGATGGGATTTCAGTGGATGTAGCTCGTCATGCAGTGGTGAAAACGCTGTGCTTGCTGCATCTAATCTTTACAGCTCTCTATATCTAAAGCGGGTGAGCTCAGTGGGTTAAAGAAAATTCTCCAAATGCATAAGAAGGAAATGGTCTGGGGAAGCCATCGGTCTGCTCAATAACAAAGTAGTTTAAGATATGATACTAGTTAGGTGAAGACAGGGAAACCGTATGCAGGACTGGTATCTGTTTTCATTACAAAAGAGGCAAGACAGATAACTATGACTAAATCTACCTTTTCTGGGCACAAACCTGAATCAGGTGGAAGCAGCAAGAAATTAAATTCTGGGATCAACAGATTACAAATGAAGAGGTCACTTGGTCTGGAATACATTCATCCAAGAATTTTTAAGGAACTAAAATGTGAAATGGTTAACAATCGTTGCAACATAACCCTAAAAGCTTACTCCATGTTAGAGTATTGTAAATCACAAAAAGCAGATTTTAGTAAAACTGCAGGGAACTACAGGCCAATTAGGTTAACATCTATCCTGGATAAATTGGTAGAAAATGTTAAGGATAAAATTATCTCATGTACTGAAGAACAAGGACAGATTCACACAACACAAAAGGGCATAGTGAAGTGGCCTTTATTGTTGTTGGTGTGTTGTGTCATCTGGACTCAGTTCTGGATAGGATTACTTTTCTGAACCCATGGATGTCTATTCTAAGGTTTTCTCACTTCACAACTTCTCCTGTAATCCAGACCCAGGATCACCATTCTGCCATTTCCTTTCCTCAGGTATCACAGTGGACAAATTTGGGTTCATTTATTTTGTGGATGGCACCATGATCCGGCGCATCGACCAGAACGGGATCATTTCGACTGTGCTCGGTTCCAATGATCTGACATCTGCCAGGCCTCTGAGCTGCGACTCGGTCATGGACATCTCCCAGGTACTCGGCCTCCAGCGATGGTCTCTCATTAGCCTTCTCCACTGCAGACTGTGAACACAGCGGTTATCACTATGGGTGCTTCACCCATTATGGCTTTGAGTGACACCCAAACCTGGAATAGTTTTCACACAGTGGGCAGCTTGGAGCAAACAAGGCTACCCTGAGAACTTGGGCACACGTTCTAGCATTTAAAAAGTGCTTACAAACAGGTTCCATGTTAGAAAACAGGTTCCACTTTCAGAATGACTCAGAAAATCATTTTCTTTTTGCAATCGTTTTGCCATTGGTAACCATAGCAAACCATTTGCAGAACCACTGCAGCCATGTGCTGCCATAGGAACAAAAACACAGGGACTTCAGCTCCAAAGTCCCCCGGGACAGAGGGAGAAATGAGCTGTGAGCAGTCCTCACCAGATGATTGTCTGTCAGAAGTAATGGACGGGACACCCACCCATGGTGGCTCCTCAGGGTGGCTTAACATGACAGGCAAGGCGCCCTTTGTGTCATCTGCCATAGGAAGGAGTTCCAGTACCTCTGTCTGTAGCCAGCCATCTTTTCTCCCTTCAAATACCTTTGCCCTGCAAATGAAAGGTTCTGTCAACATCTCATGACTGAGTAGTTGGAATGTTCGGGTTTGTACCGTATCACTGCCGCTCCGTGCTCCCTCCTTCCACTATTTCTCCCCTGGAGTACTGCAGCTCCGAATCCTCTTTGATCTGCTCCCCATTACAACCTTCAGGACTCCACAACCTTCTCCATCTGTGCTGGAATCAGCATTCTGTACACCGCTGCAGAAAGGTCCACCGGAACTCCAATTAATGATACCCTGAGACTGCTGTAATACAGGGGTTTGTGTCCTTGTGAAGAACTCTGATACCTTTTGTCTGATGCTAACAGAATAACCTTTACATTCCTTACTCTCACTTGGGTTTTTCACCTATCATATAAGCCCCCTTTTCCCTTCGTCTCCTTGCTCTACTTCTTCCTCTCCCTCCTCTGTCCATGCCAAGCTTAAGCCCCAGCTTTTCAGCTGCCTGCCAACTTTCCCCCCATTTCTTCAGCTCCCTTTGTGGTCTAAGCCCCTTGTCCTTACCTTTCTATCTTCTAGTTTTACATGTTTTTCTTTCCTCCAAATGGATTTGTCACCCTTACAAAAATTGCTCTGCTTTGTTAGCCCTCTCGCTGTCAGTTGCCTTCTGACACATTCCAGGTGTTTTTGCACATTCTGTGACATCACCACAGCTAAGCCAGTGGCTGCCGAGCAATTGCAGTTGATAGTTTCTCCTGTTAAATATTTGACTTACAGTTAGAATAAGTGCAGTCCAAACTCAAAATGCCTTCATGTTTGTCGCTACCTGTTTGAAACTCATTTGCTCATCACAAGAACTTTTTATTTCTCTTTGTGTTGAGCGTCTTCATAAATTGAACACAGTGTGGTTTTGGGGACTGGTTCAAATTAATATCTCGGAAACAGTGGTTGACATCTTCTCTGCCCAAATTATCAACAGCAGGGAAACGAAGAATCTTGAATTGCATCAGATTGCAAATGGGTCATGACAGCTCTCAAGCTGGGCCTTTTAAGTCCCACTGCTCAAGTTTAAAAAAAATCTTTTTGCACCTGCATTTCTTAGCATAAGGTAGACATAACCGGTGCTGCCTAGGGTTCTGATTTTGGAGGTGCTGTCCAGCTGATAATCAGCAATAGTTTGGAGGCATAACTTCTAAATCTGTCAGGCTTGTATGCCCCAAATTATTATTTGAATGGCTTCAGGAATGGGCTTTGTTCTGCAGAACAGCAGCTCCTAGCGGGAAAGCTTGAATGCTGTTAGTCTGACACAATGGAAGCCCATGGGGGTTTTCCTTTTGTCACCTCCCATGTAATTTCCTTGCTACCACCTGGCACCTGTTCCTTTGGTTCGTTCTCCCCCCTAATTTGAAAAGATTGCTGCTGCTTTTTTTGTGGCAGCCACCCCACTGCCCACCTTTTGTAAGCAGGGTGAAAATTACAGGCCTACAAAGGTCACCTGCCCGGTGGACCAGAGGTAAACTTGGATTGTTAAAAACAGCCTTGTAGCATCGTGGCATCCAGTCTCCAGGCCGGAACTTGGTATAGACTTGGCCCAGAGATTTTTTTGAAGGCTCGTTTTTTGTCTCTCTGGGTTTTTTAAAGACTGTTTGCAAAGGACCACGAGGCTACAATTCATAAGAAGAGAAGAGAGGCCCTGCTGGATCAGGCCGTGGGTCCAGCTAGGCCAGCGCTGTGTTCACACAATGGCCAGTCGGCTGCCCACAGGAAGCGGGAAATGAGTTTGATGCTGCAGTCTTGTCCCTGTTCCCCAGCCACTGGTCCATGGAGGCATGTTGCCTGTGCTCACTTGTGCTAAACTTGCCAAGAGAATGTGTGCTCCCAGATCTCTCAGTCTTGCCCTGAGGATGCAGACGGGGAAGAGAACATAAGAACCTACTGGGAGAGAGTGAAGTTCCACCTTATCCAGTGGCTTGTCTCCAGCAGAAGTGGCAACTAGTCCTGGCGGCTCCATGCTACTTCTGGCATCAGAGGCAGCATGTGCGTGTGCCCCAGTCCTTGAAGAGCCCTACTGTGGCGCTTCCCATGGGCAGCCAGTTGGCCATTAATCCAGCATGGCTCTTCTGATGCTCCTCTGATCTTCTCAGGTTCAGTTCCTGCAGAGCAGCCTGAAGCATGGCAGCAGCCCTCTTTCTTGGGTTGCTTTTCCCTGTCCAAACAGAAACTAAAAGCATACTGCTTATGAACCTGGAGGTTTTCTTCATCTGCCATGGCTAACAGCCTGTTGCAAACCTGTTCATGAATTTGTCCAACCCCATTTTAAAGCCATCTAAGCTAGTGGCCATCACCAAATCTAATATTCCATATTTTAATTGTGCTTGCGTGAAGAAGTACCTTTGTTTGCCTGGATTGAATCCTTTGCCAATCAGTTTCACTGGATAGGGAAAAAACTCACTAAAAGCATGTCAGTACTGAAAAGTTATAGAGGCCGTAGGCCAGCATAGCTGTCTCATCTTCCCTCAAGGATCCTGGGAAGAGTATTGTGAGGGTGCTGAGAATTCTCTCCCAAAAGGTGTACCCATTCCCCTTTCCAAACTATGGTTCCTAGAGGGGAGGAAATGGGATGAAGGTCAGACTTTCTCAACCGGGACCTCTCCAGAAGTTTTCAACTGCACATCTCCTCAGCTCCAGCCATCTTGTCCAATTGCTAGAGACAGTGGGAGTTCAAAGCTCCAAGAGACACCCATGCCAGGAAAGACCCAAAGACCCATGGAGAAGTGTGACTAACACTGAAATATATTACAGAACGGGAGGCCAAAGAGCAAAGCAAAGAGTAAGAAATTGTTTCTTCCTCATATCCTCCCCCTTGTCCCCCAAAGCTCTTCATCCAAGGGTAGCCACAACCGCAGCTCACCCTCTGCTGCAGGTGGGAAGCTTCCAGCTGTCCAACCTCCACCATAGTTTTTGAAAGAAAGTGCGTAAGAAACATAGAAACAGCGCGAGTCAGAAGGGTCCTCCTGGCCCATCTAGTCTGACCCCCGACTCCAGGTGGCTCCACTCATGACATGCCTACCATGTACATGTCCAGCCTATCCTTGAACACCCTCACCGATGGGGCCTCAACCACCTCCCATGGAAGCCCATTCCACACCCTCAGGGTCCTGACTGTCAGGAAGTGCTTCCTGGCATCCAAATTGAACCTGGGTTCCCTGAGCTTGGCTCCGTTGGAGCATGTCCTGCCTTCCTCTGCAGGGGAGAACAGGCCTCTCCCCACCTCCATGTGACATCCCCTCACATACCTGCATGTCGCCAACAGGTCCCCTCTGAGTCTCCTCCAGGCTGAAGAGACCCAGTTCCCTCAGTCTCGCTTCATACGGCTTTCCCTGCAGTCCGGCCACCAATGAGTTTTTCCTCACCTTTCAGTTCTCAGAGCCATTGCAGGTACTTGTCATTGGCTCAGACACAAACACAAGTATCCATGCTCATTACTTGAGTTCAGGCTGCTGACAAGCCTGATGAATGGAAGGGTGGATACTTGATGCATGGCAGGCAAAACTGGGGAGAGGAGGCAGCAACGTGCCAGATTTCTGCGTGCTGAGCGGATAGGACACGATGCCTCCCAAGCACCTGTTCTTCATTTCCCTCTCCTTCTCTCCTCTCCATTCACTCTGGGAGCCAAACAGTAATGTCCTCACTATGCAAGCACAGGACAGCAGTAGCGCAACTGCTACTGAGAGGAGGAGGAGGAGGAGGAAGGGGAGTTCAGCCATTTTCTTCCTCACCGTCATATTCCCATTCCTGCCTAGCCACATGCATATCTCAGCATCTTCTTTGAAGTTGCTAGAAGATCTTTAAAAACAAAACCATCAAGTCCATACTCTACAATATAAGGGGCCCATTTTTCTGTTACTCTCCTGCTGAAGACAAATATTGCTGAGAGATGTCTGTAAAAGAACTTCAACCAGGGAGCTTCTTTTCGTCATATAAATCCGTTAGAGAGGTCTCTCCAGTCAGACCCCCCAGGCGGTGAGGGACCAGAAGCCATAAAATATTTAGCTGCCGTTGTTGACAAGAAATTGGTTTTAAGAGGTGGAGAGAGTGGGGGAAATTCCCTTGTCATTTCCGAATAAACTTACATTCTTGATGCTAAGTCGAGGCTGCAAGAGAAGTCGCAGTCGCTCAGAAGGCTGTTAGGAAGGCAAGAAGGATGCCTTATTGAAGGGGAATCTACAGGTTGTTGTGTTGCACCACAGGAAGGGTTAAGGACGGCCAGCAGCCAGGGAAACAAAAACGAGACCCGACACTGCTGAGCTTCCTCTCTCTGCAGCCTAGTTCTCACTGGGGTAGTCTGGGTGCTTTCACATCTAGGTGTGGCTCACATGACTGAACATCCCCCCCCCCCAGCAAAACACACACACAAGGTTTGTGCGAATCAGCAGAATTCGGATTCTGAATTCCATCCGTATCGAACAGATGCATGCACGTTTTCTCAAAGATCCACATCAGTTGTGCACATTTTTCCTCTTGCTGATTCAAGCGTGTTTGTCACGTTTTTCAAACTGCTTTTCTTCATACTCGTTTTCAGGTGTACACCTTTGTCGTTGTTGCTCCATAAAATCACATGGTATGAGCCACCCTGGGTCCCTTGATAGAGGAAGAAAAGGGGCAGGTGGGGGGCTGAATACAGCAAGGAGGAGAAGAAACTTGGAAATATACAGGATTCGGATATATTATTATTATTATTATTATTATTATTATTATTATTATTATTATTATTACATTTTTATACTGCCCATAGCCAAAGCTCTCTAGGCAGTTGACAGCAATAATGGATTTTGTTCCAGGTGGTGCAAACTGGGGAATTCTGCTCAGAATGAACTGAAACATATACCTCCGTAACCCTCACATACATCAGACCCACCGCCTAGCTAATGAGGTGTCAGGGAGAAGCCTCTGACCCAGCCGTTGCCATGGCGTGCCAGTTTTATCTCTGCAGCCCAAGTGCTGTAGCCAGCCGCACATTTACCCCCGCTGAGAGAATTTGACCGACAACAAACGCCTGTGATGTGGAAGGACAGGAGTAAACTTTCCCCTCACAGTGACAGTTGTGGCATGCGTGGGTTGTTATAACTCCCTCCCCGCTTTTTGGCTTGTATTTTTGAGTACCTGTCAGTCAGGTGAAGGGGAAAGGTACAGGCTTCATTAGGGGCCCTTCATCTCATCAGTGAAATAGCAGGGGTGTCCATCTCCACAGGATGCCTGTTTACAGACTCTGTTGTCTAAGAGATGAGGGTTCAAATCAGAGCTGCTTTCTGTTCTGTAAGAGCTCCACATGTGTCACTCTTCTATCTGTTGCTGAGATTATTAGTCCAGATGGGAAACTGATCCTGGGATGAAATTCCAACACAGAAACAGAGCGAGTCAGAAGGGGTCTCCCGGGCCATCTAGTCTGACCCCGGCTCCAGCCAGCTCCACTCATGACATGCCCACCACGTGCATGTCTAGCCAACATGGTGTCATGCTTTCTGCCCAGGATCTTGAGCCCCATAACTGTTCCCTGCTCCTGTGGAGTGGGTTCCAACATACAATGCAGTGACTAGATTTCAAGGGCTTCTGTCAGGACCTGTTGAAAACATAACCTAAGGACAACTCCAAAACTGGATATGATGATAATCTATACCATTTGTTTTTATAAACGCAACATACCAGGTGGAGCATTTCCTGAACAGTCACTGTATCTCACTCATGGGATTTTCTGGGGCGTCTTGACAATGGTGAGGCGGTCTTTGTGTAACTCTGCTGTATTTTCCTGCTACTTCTCCTGTGCTTTTTCTGACCACTGCAAATTGTTGATCTAGCAGAAGATAGGATCGTACTAGGAGCCTTCCACCTAGAAGCTATCCAAAACCCTCTTATTTCAAAATAGACGTTCACAGTGTGTATGAATGGAAATCATGGAGTCCACCAACTTCTCTTTTTCTCTCCATGTTCTTAGGTTCGCCTCGAATGGCCGACAGACCTCTCAGTCAACCCAATGGACAATTCTCTGTACGTCCTTGACAACAACGTCGTCCTGCAGATCTCCGAAAACCACCAGGTGCGCATTGTGGCTGGAAGGCCAATGCACTGCCAGGTCCCCGGAATCGACCACTTCCTCCTGAGCAAGGTGGCCATCCACGCCACCTTGGAATCTGCTACAGCCCTGGCCGTCTCTCACAGTGGTGTTCTGTACATCACGGAAACGGATGAGAAGAAGATCAATCGCATCCGGCAGGTCACCACCAATGGGGAGATCTCACTTGTGGCAGGGGCCCCGAGTGGCTGTGACTGCAAAAACGATGCCAACTGCGACTGCTTCTCCGGGGACGATGGCTACGCAAAGGACGCCAAGCTGAACGCCCCTTCCTCCCTGGCAGTCTGTGCAGATGGCGAGCTGTACGTGGCTGACCTTGGGAACATCCGGATCCGCTTCATCCGGAAGAACAAGCCATTCCTCAATACACAGAACTTATATGAACTGTCCTCACCCATTGATCAAGAACTCTACTTGTTTGACACGAGTGGCAAACATCTTTTCACCCAGAGCCTTCCCACCGGAGATTACCTTTACAACTTCACCTACACGGGAGACGGTGATATCACCCTGATCACCGACAACAACGGGAACTTAGTCAACATCCGGAGGGATTCCACAGGGATGCCGCTTTGGCTGGTGGTCCCTGATGGCCAGGTCTACTGGCTAACCATTGGCACCAACAGCGCCCTCAAGAGCGTGACAGCTCAGGGGCATGAGGTGGCCATGATGACCTATCATGGCAATTCCGGCCTCCTCGCCACCAAGAGCAATGAGAACGGGTGGACAACATTTTATGAGTGAGTATTTGTGGGGATGCCTCTAGCCAACGTTGCATTAAGATCAAAGGGAGGGTCCTGCTGGTTCTGATGGAAGGTCCAGCCAGTCCAGGTCCTGTTTCTCGCAGGGGCCAATCGGTTGCCGCTGGGAAGCCCATACGCAGGACACAAAGGGCACCATCTTCGCCCCCTGCCAGTGCACTGCCTTTTCCAGACCAGGACACACTCATACTCATCAGGACTAGCAGACATTGTCAGATGCATCCTTCTCCATCAACATGTCCTCCAGTCCCCTTTCTAAGTTCAAGCAGGAGAAGGGCCTTCTGTGCAGTGGCACCCCAATTGTGGAATTCACTCCCCAGAGAGGTTCGCCTGGCGCCATCACTTTATTCTTTTCACACCAGGCCAAAACCTTTTCATTTCCCCAATGTTTTAAGACCTGACTGTTTTAATTGGTGGCTTTATTATTAGTTCAATTTTAGGACGCTGTATTTTGAATTGAAATTTTTTACATTTTTATTGTTAAACCATCCCGAGACTTCGGTCATGGAACAGTCTACAGAAGTTTTACATCAATAAATAAATGTAACAGTCCCTACAGCTTGAGGCAGTGGACAGCGTAACATATTTATGGATTAATTTTCTCACCTGAAGCTTAACGTTTCAGTGAGTTGAATTCTCCTTCCTGTCAGCCCCTAAACAGCCAGTGTGCTGTCGGGGTGAGAGTCCTGGACTGGAATCTGGAAGATCCAGGTTTGAGTCCCCACTCAGCCATGAAGCTGACTTTGGGCCAGTCATGGGCTCCCACCCTAACCAATCTTACAGGGTTGTTGTGAGGATAAAAATGGAGTGGGGAAGATCTACATAAGTCATTTTGGGTTCCTTGCAAGAGGAAAGAGGCGAGATATAAATGCAATGGAATGGAATGCCAAAAAAAGTGAGGTGTCAGCATGTGGGATTCTCTGTGTGTGGAACTCAGGTGCCCAGCACCATCCAGAGCAGCCGTGTCAGGGAGGTTTGAGGCAAGGGGAAGATGCAGCATCAAACCTACGCCAGGCCTGCCCTGACTCCATGAGGAGACTGGGACTTAATTCAACCTGGTTCTCGGGGGCTTGCGGGGCTGAAAGCACACTTCTTGTTTCTTGTTATGAAAGCTCTGTGCTATAGTTAAGGCAGAGAATCGAAGGAAATTACCGCACCCATTGCAACCCTTAATATTTGAAGCACTGATGCGTGTTCTGCTTGTTAAGCATGACAGGTAACCACATTACGAGGTGTGTTGTTTTCAAGGGCTTATTTAGCAGCCAAAGAGTGCTGAAAGTGGAGAACTTGGGGAGATGGAAGGATTTACCCTTCCGAATAGACCTTTCTGGAATCACAGCTTCTTTTCCACACCAATAATGTGACAAATGATGGTGTCGGATGTTCACAAGCAAACAATTAATGTCTTATAAGCGCCAAATGCTGCTTTAATGCCGTGCAGTGAACCTTGGCTAAATATGTTTCCATTTGGGGTGGATGGCTGCGGATTCCTTTGTCAGCCGAGTAATTGTCAAGGCCAGGGTTGCTTGATCAGGTAGTAACAGGTCACATTAGCAGGTGATGAATCTGTTGCTTGCGCTGGCTGCTTGGCGCTTTCATGTGCTGTGGCATTTGTCCTTAATTCTGGTGCAAGTCAGAGCATTCGACGAACATGAGAATATTAGAATATGATGCCTCTAAATCCCTTGACTGTTGAAACCCGGCCTAGTCAGATTAACTCTGGAATGAATTGACATGGGCAGGATTTGTCTCTTCACGAATATGAGGATAGTTACAGACAAGACGAGTGGCATTCCCTAGCTTCTCCTAACCCCATTATAAGACAGTTATGTGCCTGCATGGAGGCAAAAATTAAGAGAGACCCGGGGACTTCCACATATTCCGTGCCGTCCAATTTCAAACGAGATGCTTTTGTCATTTGCTGAATGATCTGCCAGAGTTGTCTTTAACCTTAGCAGTGCTCTTGTCCGTCAGAGGGTTGTTTTATTTTTTTAGCAAGCTGCCTGATTTTCACCTTCCCTGGATTTTCTCCCTTAGGTAAGCGCACATAAACATTTCAGATGCTATAGAAATACATTTGGTAGGCATGTCATGAGCGGAGCCAGCTGGAGCCAGGGGTCAGACTAGATGACCCGGGAGACCCCTCTGAATCACCCTGTTTCTATGTTTCTATTTTATAAAATAAAGGTGGGCTGATATAATCATTACACGTGTGTAGGATGTGTGTCTTCAGATGTCACAGTAAACCATGGTTTATTCTAACAGGAATGAGCCTAACCTCCCCCTGGTTCATGTTCTTGCCTCTCCTGCTCAGGCATAGGTGTGATTTCAGATGCTTTTGCTTCTATTTTATATTAGCTACAGCTTGATCTGGTGTCTGAACCCAACAGAATGTAATTAACCTTAACCATGGTTTATTTGAAACAAGCCAGTTTCAAACTTCAGTTTATGAAGCTACCTTGTTGCAACAAACCATAAAATTAATCACAGAACAGATCCAAGATGAAACTGTAGTTAATTAAAATCAGAAATGAATGCTTCTAAGCTCTTCCTCATGGCTACACTGGGTGGATGGGGCAGAGAGAGCACAGAAGACCAGGTAGCAAGGAGCTAAGGTTGATCCCATCACAATTAACCACTTTGTCATGACATCTAAGCATAGGGAGAAGCATGCAGCATTTCTTAAGGGAGTCTGTAAGGGATAGCATATGCAAACATAATTCACCTGAGGCAAGCCAGCAAAAATTCCTAACAGAACCTTGAGAGCTAGAAACTTGGGTATTGCACTGACAAAAATACACCTAGACTGGCCCTGCTTATTTCAGGCCCGCTCATCATTGACCTCGCGTACCTAGACCAGCAAATATGGCTTGAGTCTTGTGTGGTGTTCCTTTATTTGTTTGCTTATTTCATTTTTATACTACCCAGTAGCTATTTGAAGTCCAGATTTGGGACATGTTGGTTCCTCCCCCATCCCATCTCCTCCATCTCCCTCTGGTTTGCTTCTCACACGTCTCCTCCTTTTCCAGGTACGACAGCTTTGGCCATCTCACCAACATCACCTTCCCCACTGGCCAGGTCAGCAGCTTCCGGAGTGACACCGACAGTTCGGTCCATGTCCAGGTTGAAACTTCCAGCAAGGATGACGTCACCATAACAACCAACCTTTCAGCCTCAGGTGCCTTCTATACCCTCCTACAAGGTGAGGCTCCTATTTACTGCACGGGCCTAGGATTGTTTGTGATCTGGTTTGTGGTGGACAAAGATTGCTTCTTTTTCTGCTGTTGGGCTCAGGAGAATACAGAACAGAAGCTACAGGCCACAAGGATGGGTTGGATGAAGTGTGTGTCATGAACCCAGATCGAAAGTACCCTCGAGAAGGGTTCAATCAACCTATCTTCAGTTTGGCAAGAAGATGCTTTTTTTATTATTTTTGTTGTTGCACATAAGGAAAATTCTTTATGGGATCATTAAATCTAGCCAGTGTATGAAGATGGAACTTTCCAGTCGTCCAGGAAAGACAAAAGCACAAAGCTGCCAGGAGCTGTTGAGGCTAAAGCTTAAAACTCACCCCCCAGCAACCAGTAAGGGTTACTGGGCTCTGGCAAAGGGATGGTGGGGAAATTTGCTGGACTTTGAATGTTCAGAATTAAAATACTGATGTGAGGAAATCCAGAAATGCATTTTCTTAGGACAACTGCTTGCAAAAACTCTGCGCTAGGCAAGAATGCCAACAAAATGCATGTTTTAAGGGAAACATGCAGAAAAATGCTTCTGAAATTTCATAAGAACTTTAAGAAAAAATCTCAACCTTCATGGTAAATGTAGTGGTAAAATTCTCAGCATTTGAGACAAGCCACACCAAACTGGAAAAATGAAAACTGAGTCAGGGCCAGGTTTCTCCTTGGGCAACAAATAGTATTTCATATATCTCCATATAAAGACAGCTCCCGTTGGGGCATAATATGCTCCGTTGACTTGACCTCCAATAAGGGCTCAGGCAGAGGAAATTGGTGTTCCTGTGTCAACAGAGTCCTTATGCGCTGCTGCTTTTCTTTTCAGCCCATGGTGCAGCTCCTGTTTGGAGAACTGCTTCTGTTGAAGCACAAATGGCTTCTGTAAAGCCTAAAAGAAAAACTGCAGTGAATAGAGACACGCTGACTTAGGAGTCCCCTGGGCTAAGGCTTGATTTTGCGGTGAAACAAGATTTACGGACTTGGCCAGGCACTTCTGCCTCCTGGCACCCTGCCTCTGAAGCCCAGGAGAGTTCCTATCATTCAGAACTCAGGAATTGGATCTCCTAATTCCAGAACCATGTACCTGCTGTAATAGTATAATCTGAAGGCACATCCCTCTGGAAGTACCTCCAAGGCTGTCACAGAGAGGAAGGCCAAGATCTCTTCCTGCTGATGCCAGAGTTCAGGACACGGAATCATCAATGCAAGTTGTGACAACCCAGATTCAGGCTGGACATCAGGAAAAACTTCCTCTCTGTCAGAGCAGTACAGTAGTGGGACCAGCTGCCTGGAGAGGTGGGGGGCTCTGCCTCCCTAGAGACTGGACAGCCGCCTGAGTGGGATGGTGCCATCAGGGGTTGGACTCGATGGCCTTCATGGCCCCTTCCAACTCTGCTGTTCTATGATTCCACACTGCCATCAGCGCTGGGACTCGTGGCGGGAGGGAGCTGTGGGGCAAGGCACAGTTTGAGTCGAAAGAGAAAAACGTGGAAAGCAGGGGCAGAGGACTTGTGGTCCTCCTCCTGTCAGCATCCCTGAGCATTGCTTGTGCTGGCTGGGGCTGATGGGGCCTGCAGTCCAAAATATCTAAAGGAGGCGGGTTGGTCCATACTCAACTGGCAGCAGTCCCAGGCAGGTGTCTTTCCCAGCCTTGTGTGGAAGTGGCACAAATTAACCCTCGAGGTTTGATCCAAGGCCTCTGTGACAGGCTGTAAGAAGGCCTGGGAACTTATTTCGGGAGTTTGACTCTGAGGCGGGCAGGGAAGACGCTGCCAAGGCACGAAGGACACCGGAGCAGGAGATGGGAAGGAATAACTGAGAAAGGAGGCCAGCTGGGTCCCTCTGAAGCCCTGGGAGGTCAGGCTTCCAGCAAGGAGGAGGAGGAGGAGGAGGCAGGAATCAGGACTCCAAGAGAGGAACGTAGAAGGGAAGGGAGAGGCAATGAGCAATGTGCAAGGAATTCGGTTTATGGGGTGGGCATCCCTTGGATTTCCTCAGCTTGGTCCCCCAGACTCTGGCCCACTTTCTCTCTGCCCTAAGTCTGATTCACGTGAGTCCCACTGTCGCGTATTACACCGAAGTGCCCAAATGTAAGGCCAGCTTGCGCACATGTCACCATCTCTGCAAGCGAGGGCAGCATGCTTCTCCTTCGCATGTGACTTACGGACTTGTACACTTAGCCAGTGACTGATTCCGTGCACAGAAGGGGCTTGCTGGTATGCGTCAGTATTTGCAGTCTTGACCTTAGCTCAGCTTGCTGCCTAGATCAGGGTCAAGCACAGAAAAAGATTTGGCAAGCGCAGGAGACCTGGATCCCGGCTGGATCCCTTCATCACTCCGGTGCATCACAGGGCAGTCCCATGTTCCACGAGACTGTCAGGCAGAGTGGGAAGACCAGCCTGGTGCCCACTTGACACCCCAGCTGGGATGGTCGGAGCCATGCCCAACCATTTCCTAGCAACTTTCTTTCATGCCACTGTAACTTAGGGAACGAATCTTGGACTGTGCAGCGTCTTTTCTTGTGTTGACTGCAAGAAGGTCTGGCGTGTAGCTTGACATGATGCTGGCTTGTCTGCAGCTTCTGCATAATAAAATCTAACCGATTTGAAAGAGCAAGTTACTGGTTTGTGTACAGTTGAGGCTTTTCCTAACAAACCGATGGAGTTAGGAGGATGTATCACTGATGGAATATTTCTTTATTTCATTTTTATACCACCCAATAGTCGAGGCTCTCTGGACGGTTAACAAAAGTTAAAAATACCCAAATAACAAAAATGGACATAAAACTACAGCAGTGGCAACTGAATCTGCATAGAGGCATAGCAGTGGGACAGGCTACCAGGCACTATTAAAACCAAATTTACAATTTTAAACGGTTATAATGCTGGGGAAATAAGAAGGTTTTTAGCCAGTGCTGAAAAGAATACAAAGTAAGCACCAGGAACACCCCTTTGGAGAGCTCATTTCATTGCTGGGGTGCCACAGCCTAAAAAACCCTCCTTCTGATAGGCACTGGCCTCACTTCTTTTGGAATTTGCTCCCAGAGAAGATGTCCTTAGCATCTGGGTAGGTATATATAGGACAAGGTGTTCCTTCAAATAACCTGAATATCTATCTGTTACACTAGTTAAAGGCACAAGAGTCCTCTCAGAAAATAAAAAAGAAAAGACCATGAGACAGCTCTGGTCTTTTGAAAAATAACTGCAAACCACTCTGTTGTTCTCAACAGAAAGTAATCATTGTCAGATGCCTCTAGAATTGTGCTAACCCCAGGGATAGAATTCTGCTCTCGTCTGTCCTTCCCCATCTTAATTCCAGTCTGCAGAAGTCATTTTAGCCACAGAATTTGACTCCTGGGCTCAGTTTGTTGCTTGTCTTGTCTGTCTCCTCCTTTTGGCAGACCAAGTGAGAAACAGCTACTACATCGGTGCAGACGGGTCTCTCCGGCTCATGCTGGCTAACGGCATGGAAGTGGCCTTGCAGACGGAACCTCACCTGCTAGCTGGCACCGTTAACCCCACCGTGGGGAAGAGGAACGTCACCCTCCCGATTGACAACGGTCTCAACCTGGTGGAGTGGAGGCAGCGGAAGGAGCAGGCGAGGGGTCAGATCACTGTTTTTGGCCGCAGGCTGCGAGTAAGTGAGAAAAGCTGTGCTCTTTTGTTACTCACAGGATCCACCTTCGCGTTACCTTTACCACCAGCCAGGGTGAGGATTGTTGTCTGTAGCATCCGAATGGAAATCCAAAATGCTAGACTCCAAGGTCTTCCCATAAAGATGACTTGTAGAAGATCCATACGCAATCAAAGGAAAGACTTCACGCAGTGCAGAGTCAAACTATGGAACTCCATGCCGCTGGAAGTAGTGATGGGTACCAGTCTGGAGGGCTTTAAAGGGGGATTGGACAAGCACATGGGAGAGAAGGCAGTTAGTTCATCCTCAGAGGCAAGCTCTTAGCACAAGATGCCATTTTGGCACTCAGCACTGCCTCAGTCTTTGTGTGATAAATCTGCATTTTCCAGGCCTTTATAGCTCAAACCCAACACTCTTTCAGAGCCGGGGGCTTCTGTATGTAGAATGTGAGCCTTAAGTGGCTTTGGGGATGTTAAAGAAAATGTATTGGGCACTAATAGTAAAAGTTTCTATGAGGAAGCAGTATATGGCTTATCCATTACGAAGAGGGAGGATATGACATACAATTTCCTTTTTCAGGGACAGTTCTCAGTTGCCATTTCCTGTCATGGTAACTCCGATCTTTAATATTTTGGGGGCCAAGCAACATGGTATGGTGGGAGGTTCTAGGGATGCAGTGGGAGATTTTTCTCTTTCGAACTAAATGCAGCTACGGACGGATTTCATCTGAACCAGGATCTGATTTATTTCAGAGGGGAAGGAGGTTAAATTTTCATGGCGGCTTTTTAGCAGTTTTTGTAAGGATGAGGTAAACTGGGGAAATGGGCAGAAGAAAAGGCTTAAATTTAAGGCCTCTGGTCCCCATGCCAGTCAAATTAGCACACATGCCCTAATGACCCATAATTCGGATGCACCGCTTTTTTGGTGCTTCTAGTGTGTGTGCAGGGATGCGGTGGCGCACTGGCTTAAACTGCTGTGCTGCTGGGCTGGTTGATTGAAAGGTTGCCAGTTCAAATCCACAGACGGGGTGAGCTCCCGTGCTCCGTCCCAGCTCCTGCCAACCTTGCAGTCCGAAAGCATGTAAATGCAAGTGGATGAAAAGGTACCACTTTGGTTGGCAGGTAACAGCGTTCCGTGCACCTTGGTGTTTAGTCATGCCGGCCACACGACCACGGAGACTGTCTGCAGACAAACACTGGCTCCCTCGGCCAGGAAACGGAGATGAGCAGCGCCCCCTAGAGTCAGGCATGATTGGATGTAACGTCAAGGGGAAACCTTTACCTTTACCTTGTGTGTGTGCACGTATGCATCTTTGTACTTCAAAAGGGTTGCGATTGACAAACTGAGTATATCATCCATATCATGTTCTCAGTAATACATACACACACGTGCTTTGCCTTAAAGGGCAGCATAAAATACTTTGCATTAAATAATACACACTTTTGAACCACTTACAGAGCAATCCTGTGGCCCCTGGATACCATCTAGAGGGCCACAGGATTCTTTGAAGGCCAAGCCTAGAAAACAGCCCCCACCCCAAAGCTGTACTCCCACCCCACCCTGGCAGCCAGTGTGCAACAACCCATGCCACCTGCCCCCAGGGTCGTAAGAGCATCCTCAAAGAGGTGGTGAAGAGGTTGCTTCAGAGAATGGGACAGGGAGAATACCGGAGTCTTGCGGATACACCATCTGTGGGTGGTACCCCAGCTTTCTTTCACATCAGAGTTATGGAGTAGCCACAATGATCCTCCTGCACTTCATGGGATACCTGCAATTTTCCAACTTTGGAAATGTAACGGCTTCCCCATTGACTGCAATCCTGTCCAGATTTGCCTAGGAATAAGTCCCAGTTAATTCACTGAATCTTGGTTCAGTACTGATAGATTAAGGAATCTGTTCTGGGAATGAAATGTCTGTTTTCAGGTTTTTGTTAGTTTTCTTTCTTCTTTCTTATTTTCTTCCTATGTCTTAGGATTTTTTACAAAAAATTTAAAAACCCTAGACATTTTCACTTTCCCAGAAGAACGGTTTGCTTCTTTTGAGCAGCAGCTAACAGTCCGCCCTCCTCGGGCTTTCTGCTCAGCTCTCCTCCTCCCCTGTCTCCGTTGCAGGTTCATAACAGAAACCTGCTGTCTCTTGACTTCGACCGTGTGACCAGAACGGAGAAGATCTACGATGACCACCGCAAGTTCACCCTGCGGATCCTATACGATCAGGCCGGCCGGCCCAGCCTTTGGTCCCCAAGCAGCAGGCTGAACGGGGTGAATGTCACCTACTCCTCAGGGGGGCATATCGCTGGAATTCAAAGGGGAACCATGTCGGAAAGGATGGAATATGACCCATCCGGCAGGATTACCTCCAGAATCTTCGCTGATGGCAAATCTTGGAGCTACACATACTTAGAAAAGGTGAGTAGCACCTGCAAAAGGTACCTCTCAACTCGGGCCTCCCAACAGCTCCCTTGACTGGTATTTCTCCTAGCCTGTATTTTTGCCCCCTTCTAAAATCCCAGGTGCTTTTAATCTTCAAGGGGCTTTTCAGCTTTAAGGATGCCATTGTATGCATGTTTGGGTAGAAAAAGATCCTCCAACTCCCAGCATTCCCCAACCAGCATTTCTGGAAGCCTTAGGACTTTTTTCTGTCTAAACATGTTTAGAGTGCTTCCCAAGAGATTTTTGAAAATTGCTTAAGGGGATTATACCACCTTGGTACCCAGAAGGGTGAAGGGTGGTTTTCAAGGAGCAAAGACTAATGCCATACAAGTTAGGAAGAGTTCAGTTTACTTTACCTAGAAGTGTATCCACTGGGAGGCCATGTGGTGTAGTGGTTAATCTGGGTTCTAGTCCCCGCTCAGCGATGGGCCTAACTTTGGGACAGGCACAGACTCCCAGCCCAACCTTCCTCGCAGGGTTGTTGTGAGGATAAGCTTAAGAGCATGAGGACGAGAACAATATAAGCCACTTCAATTTCTTTGTAAGAGAAAAGCCAGATATAATAAATAGATAAATATGTCTAATAATAAATATAATCTAAGAATTCTTAAATTGGAGTGGAATAATTCTCCTTTCCCCCAGTATTTTGGACTGTTTTCGTGTTCAGCACTAGATTTTCCCCAACCCGCACATCTGTTCAGTGAATCTAGGAACCGCCTCTGTTGCTCAGTCACAATTTTCTTGAAGGAGCCCAGAAAGAAGGGATTCTGTACCACTGAACAGAAATCTACAAGATGATGTTCAATTCACCAACCATTGGCACTTCCCCTGACCCCCCCCCTTACAAAAATGAGGTGCAGGGTGTTCAGCAGAGAAGCCAAGATTATTACAGCCATTACAATGTTCTGAAGAACTTTCCTGCTGGAGAAACATTGAAACTTTTAATGACTTTGCATGAAAAGTTATGTCTGTCTTTCTCTCCTGGTTACAGTCCATGGTACTGCTTCTTCACAGCCAGCGACAATACATCTTTGAATTCGATAAGAACGACCGGTTGTCCTCTGTCACCATGCCCAACGTAGCCCGGCAGACCTTGGAGACCATCCGTTCCATCGGCTACTACAGGAACATTTACAGACCGCCGGAGGGTAACGCCTCCATCATTGAGGATTTCAACGAGGAGCGGCAGCTCCTGCATACTCACCATCTGGGAACGGGCAGGCGTGTCATCTACAAGTACGGAAAGCTGTCCAAACTGGCGGAAATGCTCTACGACACGACGAAAATCACCTTCACCTACGACGAGACGGCGGGCATGTTGAAGACGATCAACCTGCAGAATGAAGGGTTCACCTGCACCATCCGGTACCGGCAGATCGGGCCACTCATCGACCGGCAGATCTTCCGCTTCACCGAGGAAGGCATGGTGAACGCCCGCTTCGACTACAATTACGACAACAGCTTCCGGGTGACCAGCATGCAAGCCGTGATCAACGAGACGCCCTTACCCATCGACCTCTACCGCTACGACGATGTGTCCGGCAAGACAGAGCAGTTTGGCAAATTTGGCGTGATTTATTACGATATCAACCAGATCATCACGACAGCGGTCATGACCCACACGAAACACTTCGACGCCTACGGGCGGATGAAAGAAGTGCAGTATGAGATTTTCAGGTCCCTCATGTACTGGATGACCGTGCAGTATGACAACATGGGGAGGATTGTGAAAAAGGAGTTGAAGGTCGGCCCGTATGCAAACACCACGAGGTACTCCTACGAGTACGACTCGGACGGCCAGCTGCAGACGGTCTCGATCAACGAGAAGCCGCTCTGGCGGTACAGTTACGACCTGAACGGGAATCTCCACTTGCTGAGCCCCGGCAACAGCGCCCGCCTCACGCCGCTGCGGTACGACCTCAGGGACCGGATTACGAGGCTGGGGGACGTGCAGTACAAGATGGACGAAGACGGGTTCTTGAGGCAGAGGGGGAACGACGTGTTCGAGTACAACTCCGCGGGGCTGCTCATCAGGGCGTACAACAAAGCCAGTGGATGGAGCGTGAAGTACCGCTACGATGGCCTCGGGCGGAGGGTCTCCAGCAAGACCGCCCACGGCCACCACCTGCAGTTCTTCTACGCAGATCTCAGCAACCCCACCAAGGTCACCCATCTGTACAACCACTCCAGTTCCGAAATAACTTCCCTCTACTACGACCTTCAGGGCCACCTCTTTGCCATGGAACTGAGCAGCGGGGACGAGTTCTATATCGCCTGCGACAACATCGGGACACCCTTGGCGGTCTTCAGTGGGACGGGGTTGATGATCAAGCAGGTCCTCTACACGGCTTATGGGGAGATCTACATGGACACCAACCCAAACTTCCAGATCATCATCGGCTACCATGGGGGCCTCTACGACCCCCTCACCAAGCTCGTGCATATGGGGAAGAGAGATTATGACGTGCTGGCCGGGCGGTGGACGAGCCCTGACCACGGCATCTGGAAACGTCTGAGCAGCAGCAACGTCATGCCCTTCAACCTGTACATGTTCAAGAATAACAACCCCATTAGTAATTCTCAGGATATAAAATGCTACATGACAGGTAAGATGCCCTTTGGGCCCGCTCTCCTCAAGGCCAGGGCCTTTAGCCTGCAACCCATGTGCTCTGTGCTGGGTTGCGGCTCTTATTATTTATTTATTTAAAGTTTTTCTATGCCATCCCCTTGCTACATAGCCTCGGGACAGCTCACATAAATAAATAAAACAATTACAATTAAAACCTGGAAACACACTGGCTGCACAATTAAAATATATAAATATTAAACCTTATTAAAATACTGTTTGAATAAAAAGGTCTTGGCCTGGTGCCGAAAAACAAATAACGAAGGCGCCAGGTGGACCTCTCTGGGGAGCGCATTCCACAGACGGGGCGCCACCGCAGAGAAGGCCCTCCTCAGGGTACTTTGCCTCCTGATGTCTCTCCCGGAGGGCTCCTGGAGGAGGGCCTCTGCCGACGATCTCAGGGGGCAAGAGGGCAAATATGGAAGAAAACGTTCCTTTAGGTATCCAGGTCCCAAGCCGTTAAGGGCTTTGTAGGTGATAACCAGCACCTTGAATTGGGCCTGGACTTCTATGGGGAGCCAGTGAAGCTGGCAGAGGACTGGGGTTATGTGAGAACAACGCCCAGTCCCAGTCAGCAACCTGGCTGCTCTATTTTGCACCATCTGAAGTATCTGGACTGTCTTCAGGGGCAGCCCCACGTAAAGCGTGTTACAGAAATCCAACTGGGAAGTAACCAATATGTGCGTCACTGTCACTAGGCAGCCATCCTCCAGTAGGGACGCAGCTGATGAATCAGCCGAAGCTGATGGAAAGAGCTCAAAAGCTGATTTGAGCTTCCAAAGTCAGCTCCGGGTCGAGGAGCACTCCCAAGCTGCGGGCCCTGTCCTTCAGAGGGAGTGCAACCCCATTCAGGACAAGATCCAAGTCACCCACCCAGGAGTCCGAACCACCCACTAACAGGACCTCCATCTTGTCTGGATTGAACTTCAGTTTGTTAGCCTTCATCCAGCCCATTACCTCGGCCAGGCACCAGTTCAGCACAGCCACTGCCTCGCCTGGATTGGTGGAGAACAAGAGGTAGAGCTGGGTATCATCAGCGTACTGATGATTCTGCAGCCCGCACCTCCTGATGACCTCTTCCAGCTGTTTCATGTAGATGTTGAATAGCAAGGGGGACAAAATGGACCCCTGCGGTACTCCATGGCAGAGTCGCCATGGCGCAGAGCCTTTCTGTCCGGACTGTCTTCAAGGGCAGCCCCACGTAGAGCGCGTTACAGAAGTCGGGAAGTCACCAACGCGTGTGTCACTGTCGCCAGGCAGTCGTTCTCCAGGTAGGGGTGCGGCTGATGGATCAGCCGGAGCTGAAGGAAAGCGCTCCTCGCCGCCGCCATCACCTGAGCTTCCAAAGTCAGCTCCGGGTCGAGGAGCACTCCCAAGCTGCGGGCCCTGTCCTTTACAGAGAGTGCGACCCCATTCAGGACAAGGCCCAGGTCCCGAGGCCCGACCCACCCATCAGCAGGACCTCCGTCTTGTCTGGACTGCGGCTTGGTTTGTTGGCCCTCATCCAGCCCATTTCCCTGGCCAGGCACCAGTCAGCACCGCCACCGCCTCGCCCGGAGGCAGTGCCCGTACTTTCGCATGCTTTGCCTGCCAAGCGTGCAGGATCCGTCTCCGACACTCCAGTTACCGGGAAGAAAGGATGCAGAAGGCTCTGAGCCCAAGAATCTGTGATCCGCCTGGGCAGGCACTGTGGGGCTGAATGGATAAATTTTCTGACCTGGCCGTACGGCCTGCCTTAGCCGTATCATAAACCGCCCCCCAATATTCTGAGCGGCAAGCCAAAATACGCATTCGGGGTCCCTGCCCCTGCCTTGTTTTTTCCTGCTGCTCCACAGTCCCTTTCTGCAGATTAAAAGGGTGATTAATGTCCTCCTTGTTTCTTGTCCGTCACACAGAGCTATCACTGGGTGCATCAGCTGGCGGCCGACATTCTAAATGGCATCTAAATAAACAGTCTTAAGGATCCTTGCTCCTGGAGAGTAGCAACTGAATCCTTTCTAATCTTGACCTTTTTATCAAGCCTTTTAAAAATAGCAGTGCGATTAAGTGTTAATTCATCCATGAGAATTGCTATTTAAGGGCTGTCAAAAAAACAAGTTTCACATGCCCTAAGTTTAGGCCAGATCAGCAGACAGCAGCCTTTGGCGAAGCAACCCAAATTTCACTAGAATCAGTGGAATTAGTTTGGGACACTTCGTTTGTATTTTGGGGGGGGGGAGAATCTCAGAGCACAGACGGGCATAGAGAGGAAGGGTGACAGAATAGCATCCAAGATGAAGGCCACAGCTGCTGGAAGATCACAGCAAGGCCGTAGGAAAGGAAAAGGTGGTGAGAAGCTCAGTTCAGTACAGCCCTCAGGAGCATCTCCAAAGTGGGAGCCAGTGTGGCCTAGTGGTTAGAGCACTAGATTGCGAATCGGGATGGAATGGAAAGGACGACCTTGTAAGCCACCCTGAGTTCCTTGCAAGAGGAGGAAAGGTGGATATAAATGTAACTTCATCATCATCATCATCTCATCCCTGGGCTGAAGCTGGTTCACTGGCTTGGATATGAAGGCAAAAAATCTTGAGCCAGGAACAGAAGGCTGTATAGGGAGATGGGCCGGATCTCTTAGAATCCTAGAACAGTAGAGTTGGAAAGGGCCAGAGGGCCATCGGGTCCCAGCCCCTGCTCCGTGCAGGACTCCCAGTTAAACCATCCCTCCCAGAGGGCTTCCCCGCTGCATCTTCATCAGGACACACCGCATGTTTTGCAGGCCTGGTTCACACCTCAGTAACGCCCCCATCAAATGGTGTTAGGATCTTCTACATGAAGCTTTAATGGTGAGGTCATGATTCATCACTCACAGTTGCTTAAAGAATCGTTGGACAGCGTTGTGATGTTCCAGTTTCAGCTTGTTTGTTGCTTCCTTCCAGAACTTGTTCCTCCTTATTTTTAGCATAGGAAAATAGGATAGTCTATTAAAACAGGGGAAATGGTGCTGTTTCGCCTTGTGTATTTGATCTATTCCAGTGTAGTATAGCTCCACCTAGAGATGATGCAGTGGAAATGCAGGAAAGAAAGCGCCAGGTGCAGCGCCCAGTGCTGCAGTGAAACTGGAAGTTGCAATGACCAGCCTCGTGTAGAAAAGCCCTTCCGTTCCCTTTAGAAAGGAGGGAGTTAGGTGTTCTTCCTCTTTAACACACACACAGAGAGAGAGAGAGAGAGAGAGAGAGAGAGAACGTGGGATTTGTCCCCTTTGCATCAACATTAAGAAGCCATTAGAGGGACTTTTCTGCCACAGTTTTAACTATCTGTAGCAACTTAATTTAGCCTCCCCCCCCCCCCTTCAGCTGCTTCTGCTCTCTCTCTTCCTTGCCCGTTCTAAAAAGCCATTTCCACCCTTCCCAAAGCTGGCCTGCCACCTGCCTCTGGGCTCCGGCATCTTGCCCCTCCCCATTCTTTTGCCCCATTTCCACCCACAGGGACGATAGCCAGGTACTTCTTCAACCACATGAAAAGTTCCCACAGAGGCTCTTCACTGCTTTATCTGACCTGCCTTGGAAGTAGATGGCACTGCCACGCCTTCTCCGGGCTTCTCCCGGCTTTCCCAGCATTTGAATCCCTGGAAAGGGGACAGAAGAACGTAGGGTTCCCAGGTGCCCACACAAGCCTCACACACCCCAGATCTCCTGTCAGAAAGCTGGGGAATCCCTCCACCAGAGTCCCTGGAAGAACGCTGCTGGTCAGAGCAGACCATGCGGGGCTGAGTGTCCCAAGGACATGAGCTTGAGTGAACCAAGGGGAAGGAGGGCAAGGGCGAATTGCTGCCTGGAGCAGAGGCACTGTAGCTGCTCCGGGCCATCAAGCCGTCTCCGGCTTCCGGTAACCTTAGGCATGAAGGTCCTTCAGAAGGTCCTCTGCACGGCAGCCTTGCGTGTTCTGAACCAGAGAAGCAGGCAGCTTTGCGAGGAGGAGTGGGAGGCCTGGCTTGATCGAGAGAGGGAGCCGATGTGCGGACTTACATGGAGGCACGAGATACACACAAAAGCAAAACAGGCTTGGCTAGCCCTGTGGGCAGATGCAGAAGATGAACTGGCAAGACTGGGGCACCTTTGCTGTGAGAATAAAAGGAAATCAAAGACCCCAAAACGGTGCAGAGGGGAGGCCAGAGACGGGAGTGTTCCTGGCAGTACAGAAGCAAGCCTGCAGTCCTAAACACACTTCTTAGGGAGTGTGAAAGCACAGGGGACCGTGTGGTTGGTTTTGTGACAGAGCCTCCAAGCAAGGCAGGCAAAGGGGCCTTTCTCGGGCGGACTGGGATTTATGTTTTGCGGGCCCAGTGGCGCAGCAGGAATCCTTTCGTCATTTCGTTTTTATGCCACATAGGTTTTCTGATGGTTTTGTGGGGAAGCGCAGGGGAGGGGAGGGCTCCGACAGATGGGGCTGACGCTTCGATTACCCCTGTCAGCACGGGTTACGCCCTTTGCGGTGGTCCCCAGACAAATTCATGCCGGCCCGTGCATGTGAAGCTCCTGCGGATGGAAGCAGAAGTGTATCGTGTGTCACACGAAGTGTGCCTTGTTCTGAAAAAGGAGTGTCACTGCCGTGCATCAGATTGATACTTGGGTCGTAGCCTGACCCAAAGCGAAGCACCTTGAAGCCCCATTGATTTCAATGGGAGGATTAATCCCAGCCGTCATTGTGGCCGGATCATGCTTTCTCTCTCTTCCTTTCAGCTCCTGGACCTTTAAAAACGTTGCTTTCTGACCTCCTTTCACCCACACTCCGCACTCTGCAGGGCAGGGTGTGTTGACAGATGTTTCCATATACCTTCCAGAACAGCAGCTGACTTAAGAATTGATTAATGTTTCAAGCAAGCCGCTTTTTGTCCTTTTCACAAGTCCTTTTGACACTGCTTTGAAAACCATCCGCCAACCTCTTCCCTCTCCTGTGCTTCTTTTTGTATTGCTTCATCCTTCATTTGCATAGCTAGCCAACGAACAAAAACTCTGAGAATCCGAAAGGATAAAATGCATGCTTACGCTGCTTGTTGTGGTTATGTAGTTACACTACGAACTCAGCTTGGTTTTTATACCACTTTAATTCTCATGACCTCCCATCAAGAAGCCTGGAGATTCCCACTGGGGGCGACTAAAAATGTGCAGATTCTTCACCCACATCAGAGAAGCACAGTGCCAAGGATTTCCTTGTGCAAGGGGATGATTTTTCAACCCGTTTTATCTCTGTAGTATAGGTATATCAAAATACTCTTTTCTTTGGAACAGTGGGAGCTGCTGAGCCCAGTGGCAATTAATCTGCAGGGCAAAGGAAGTTAAATAAGTGATGTGCTGAGCTGGTGTGAAGGGCTTTTCCGCTGAGGCAGCAAATTGTACCGAATTATTTTGTGCAATATTCCTACTCTGAGAGCAAGGAGCTTTTTATTTTAAAGCAAATGTTCACAAAATAATAAAAGGCAGTATTGCCTTCTGTCTCTCAGGTTCTCGGAAGCAATTTTCCTGTGCCCTGAATAGCACAAACAGCAAAGAACTTTATTTCAACTTTATTCTTCTCTCGGCTCTTGCATGAATAACATGGAGCTCTGCTCAAAGAGATGAGCATATGGCAAGAAACATAGAAACTGAGCGAGTCAGAAGGGGTCTCCTGGGCCATCTAGTCTGACTCCCAGCTCCAGCCAGCTTCACTCATGACACGCCTCCCATGTGCATGTCCAGCCTGTCCTTGAACACCCGCACCGATGGGGCCTCAGCCACCTCCCGTGGAAGCCCATTCCACACCCTCGGGGTCCTGACTGTCAGGAAGTGCTTCCTGGCATCTAAATGGAACCTTGGTTCCCTGAGCTTCACTCTGTTGGAGCGCGTCCTGCCTTCCTCTGCAGAGGAGAACAGGTCTCTCCCCACCTCCGTGTGACACCCCTTCACATACCTGTGTGTCACCAACAGACCCCCTCTGAGTCTCCTCTTCTCCAGGCTGAACAGACGCAGCTCTCAGTCTCGCCTCCTACCCCGTCCCCTGCAAACCAGCCACCATCCTTGTGGCCCTGTGCTGCATTGAGGAATAGAAGTGATTGGCTGGCCTGCTGAAGGATGCTAGAAAGGGACTCGCCTTCTCCATTATTTTGTAGAAAGAGTGTGATAAATAAGGTGGTAAACAACTTAGCCAAGAACCCACCTTCAGTCGGTAGCTGGATGTACAGGAGCAGTAGAGTCACCATTTTGACCACAGCAGGTGTGCTAGGCAGGGCATGGCTTTAATCAGCACATCAGGACACATTTGCAACTTAAACTGCTCCTCTTGCGTCGCCCCGGTCAGAACCGTCTCGGCATGGAGAAAGTCCCCAGGACCAACATCCTGGGGTCGGCCTTGGGCGGCCGTGGTGGTGATGGGCCGCTCCTCCCGTGGTCCTGGGGGACTTCATGGCCTCCATGACGGCCATGGGGCTGTCTCAACATGTCACAGGCCCGAACCATGAATGTGGACACACGCTGGACCTGGTTTTCTCAATGGGGCAGGAAGAGGGTGGTCTGAGGGTGAGGAATTTGTGTCTGACTCCCCTGTCATGGTCAGATCACTTCCTCGTGAGGTTTGAGCTTGATGGCGGCCCTTTCCTCTGTAAGGGTGCGGACCCGATTGTGCTGGTCCGCCCCCGGAGCCGGATGGATTCCTGAAGGCCCTGGGGGAGTTTCCAGCTGACAAGACTGGTGCTCCCATTGATGCTCTGGTCGAACTATGGAATGGGGAAATGACCAGGGCTATTGACATGATTGCTCCCAAGCATCCTCTCCCGCCTGGCAGAGCCCATTCATCCCCTTGGTACACACCTGAACTACAGGCGATGAAGCGGGTTGGGCAACGTCTAGAGCATAAGTGGAGGAAAGCACGGGATGAATCTGACCAAACATGCCTACGAGCTCATTATCGAGCTTATGCTGTGGTGGTGAGGGCGGCGAAGAAGAAATTCTTCTCCGCTTCCATTGCCTCCTCACGGTTCACCCAGGCCCCAAGAAAGATCCAGTACCGCCCTCGATGGCCCACTGTGACGACTTTGCCAAGCATTTTAAGGAGAAAATCGCTCAGATTCGTCACGAGCTGGACTCCACTGGTGACACAGAGCCTTCAGGGGAGGAGCCAATGTTGCCGTCTGGTCCGACATTGATGGATGAGTTTCAGTTATTGCGGCCTGAAGATGTGGACAAGGTGCTTGGACAAGTACGTCCCACTACCTGTTTACTTGACCCTTGCCCATCTTGGCTACTCAAGAATGCCAAGGATGGGATTGTGACCTGGATCCTGGAGGTGGTCAACGCCTCTCTAAGGGACGGCCGGGTGCCTGCCCCTTTAAAGGAGGTGGTAGTCTGGCCAGTCCTAAAGAAGGCATCCCTGGATCCAGAGGTGGTCGCCAATTATAGACCGGTGGCCAACATCCCGTTCCTGGGCAAGGTGCTAGAGTGGGTGGTGGCGGGACAACTCCAAGCACTCTTGGATGAAGCTGATTATCTGGACCCATTTCAGTCCGGCTTCAGACCCGGGTTTGGTACTGAATCTGCCTTGGTCGCCCTGTATGATGACCTGTGCAGGGAGAGAGACGGGGAGTGCGTCCCTGTTGGTTCTCCTGGACCTCTCAGCGGCTTTCGATACCATTGACCATGGTATTCTTCTGGATAGGCTAGCGGGATTGGGAGTTGGAGGCACTGCTTTGCAGTGGTTCTGCTCCTATCTCAATGGCTGATTTCAGAAGGTGGTGCTGGGGGACTATGGCTCTGTGCCATGGCATAACTGCCATGGCACAGAGCCATAGTCCCCCAGCA